TATAATCAAGTTAGGATCTTTCTCTATGTATAGATATATTTACAATTTTATATCCATAGAAATCAGCTGTTAAGAACATACGCAACGTATCTTACCTACTCATAATTTTTCAAGATATTCTAAATTTAAACTTATAATACCATTACATGTTCTTAGACAAAAAATCAGCATGCGTTACAAGGGGTTTTGAAAAGATATCATTTTTTTTTATTTTTGCATTAATCAGTGAAAAGTGTACCAAAATTACAAAACATAAATTCCAGATTTTTATTTCATCATACAGGTTCCAGTAAATGTTCAACCAAGTTACCTCTCTAAATAAAGTATTATTATTATTATTATTATTAAACTCACTAAAATATTGACAGTAGTGATGTTTTAGGAAAAACTTCAAGAGTACTGTACAACTATATATTCAAGAAGTGGCCAACAATTGTAAATCTAACATCTGGTTTATTTAAAAATTGGAAAAGAACTTTTGGGACAATTTGAAATCACAAGAGTTTTATACAAAAATCAACAGCAATAAAAACTTACAGACTTTATCAAAGTGCATATTATACACAACAATCTCCTGAAACTGTCATCAGACATTCTGTGGAAATTAAAATCAGGAAGGCTTTTTGATATCATTGACAGCTGCTTCTAAGCAACGTGTTAGAAAACTTTGAGTAAGGTGGCTCTTCATTGGTTTACATACCTTTCGTCAGGAAAGCCGAAGTGCACATTTGAAGAATAAATTTTGTTAAAACAGCATATGCGGACCTGTGTTATATACCGTGCACACATAAGTACTCATGAAGTGTGACATTAAGGTTAAGATGACCACTCTGCATGACAGTTTTAATCTGACAGATTTTTCTATGTGGTTTTTGAAAAAGTATTGGTTACCATCAATGACTGGATATTCCTAAAACTTAACCCTAGTTGGAATTCCCATTTGGCAGTACAAATTATCGCTACATTATTTCTCTTAATGTAGTGGATATTTTTATATTCATATGTATCAAATATTTATGCAAAATCTTTTCAAAAAATTTGTCAGTGAAAAATGCAAAACAATTTCATTGAATTTGTGATTAAACAAATTAATAATGATAATTGTAAACAAATTGTACAGTCCCTTGTCACTAGCCATTTAGATTATTATCTTGTACGGATTGTCAGAGTGTACCATTAAAAGATACAGTTGTTGCAAAATCGTGCAGCTTGTGTTGAAGCTGATACTTGGATATTTTACTGAAAAAAACGACTACATGGTACACTACCGCATTAAACAACATGCATTGTCTATCAATGCATTAACGACAGTGACAGCCCACAATATCTTAAAGAAACTCAGTTTACGAACATCATCATATGGCATTTCCGTAAATCCTGCAGCGAAAACATTGAACGTGTCCGTAAGACGCAATATACTTTTCCTCTAGGTCTTTCGCATAGCGGAGTATTTATATGCCAACAAACCTTCGAATGTTAACTGATTTCTGTATTTTTAAACGACATCTCAAGGCGTTCTACTACACATGTGCTTTTAAATAACATTTAATTGTGAACACTAGTATATTTTATTTAAACAGCCAGTGATAAATTATTGATATTTTAACATATGCATTGTTTTTTATCATATGTATATATTCTATTGTACAGCGCCATTGATTGCATACTATATGTAAAATTGAGCGCTTTAACAAATTTTAATAATAAATAATAATAAGATTTAAATTTATTCATTTTATATTATTTATTTATTTTATTAATATTTATTCAATTTGAATTGTTTTATTTGAATAAAATGCTCGGAAAGTTCGTAGACTAGCAAGCAACATAAAATTATAACCGCGTAAAATCATAATTTTTTAAATTACGTTTTATACGTATCAACCTTTTTATTTATATAATAAACTATACATCATTTTATTTTTATTAAAATTGTTGTTGTTTTTTTTAAAGCAATGGTATGTCACGTCGCAAAATCAAAGATTTTGTGGGTTTTTTTTTACCTTGCAGTTTAACTGAGAAAAAAATGAGCATTTGTCATCCACAAATACCGTTACTTCACTCATGTGGTATGATATAATTATGCCCATAAATTTGTAATTTTTTTCACACTATTCTGTAAGTTTTATAAAATGTTATCATAAATTTTATATGAAAGGTCTAATCAATTAAGGGGTTGTAATGACATCAAAAAGGGGGTGGGTTTCCTTTTACAACATTCTATAAATCCCCCTCACCCTGGAGTAACTGGCATTAACCTAGAAAATATCTAAATGGGCTACTGAAAAAGATAATGCATCCAGAGTACTTATTTTAAAATTCCGAAAAACATTGAAGAGATGTAAAAGTTAATATAATTTGTAATAAAGGCGTTCAAAGTTTGTCACCTCGAAAGTGAAGTTGAACATTTGTGATAGATGTTGAACGCTGACAAGCAAATATGCTGTTATAATCAAGTTAGGATCTTTCACTATGTATTGATATGTTTACAATTTTTTATTCATTGAAATCAGCTGTTAAAGGCATTGAAAAATCATTTAAACAAGGCGGGTTAATTTTTTTCTAAAAAATCATCAAGATAAGTGATTGAGGTAGAGTATGCAGACATTGAGAAACAATGACATCATGCAACTAAATGGCGACCGCGCTGGGTATCATATAATGTTTTTTATTTTATGATAATTTGGTAAATATTAAAGGCATCATTGTAAAATTTTCAGCATTTCTTTGATTTTTGTTGTTTCATTTTCCTTAAAAAGTATAAACTACATAATATTGATTTCATCGAATCCGTCCACGAACTTTCCGAACAACCCTCATATATTTTGCGTTTAAATTACGTTTCCTTCTGAGTTTTCTTTTATTCTGTATTTCTAAATTAAAATAGAATATGTAAGTAATTTTATCTAAGTATTGACTATGTATGTCCTTTTGTCGTAATAGGGGAAAACATAAAATTGAAACAAAAGTACTTAAAAATATTAAGTAAAAATGGAACACAAAAAGTGACAACTTCGAAAGCGTATCGTAAAAATTTAAGACATAGAATCTCAAATAGCCACATATTAGTACAATGATAGATTAATAATTGAACTTTTATTTACATGTACCTGCTTTAGTTTCCAATTGACAATATTTGTAGACCAGTTCATCCAAAATCTTTTGAAATTACCATGGGTATCAGTTAGTTCCTGTTATTAGCAGACTTATTTTTGTATTCATATGAAGCAGAATTTATTCAAAAACTTCAACACTTGCTGTGGTCTTCAACTCGACATTTAGATATATCGACAATGCATAATCAATAGTTACCTCCAACCACATGTTGATTCGATATATCCCAGTGAACCTGAAATTAAAGACTCCATAGAGTCTGATACATCTATTTCGTATACTTTAAAAAATTACTAAAAGAAGACTTTAATGATAACCTTCTTCAAAACTTAATGATAAATGTGATGGCTGCAACTTTTCTAGATTACATTCGGCACAGATGTTTCTTGTAAACAGGGGGTGTGTTACAATCTGCAACCCAAGGTCAATGGGTACACTGTATTCTTCTCCATATTTTTACAGTTTTATAATGATAATACTTCAGTAGATCACACTTGCCCCCTATCAGGCACAGTACATATCATGACCTTAAGCAAAGGTCATATAAAGGAGCATGAAAAGAAATTCTTCATATAAAGGTTGGTTATTACCAATATGTTCTGTCATGGTTCAAAACCTTGTTGTTTGTATAATGTCCAGGATGAATGACCAATGTTTAAATTTGTTTGGGCTAAGTTTTTGAAAGCAATATAAGCTGCATTTTTGAAAATTTTATTTTGCATTCAAAATGTGTTATTATAACAAATTTGTATGCAACTTAAACCTTTATGATTAATTAGACTGAAATAAAGCAGAATAAAGACGTCTATACAAAATCCAATATACGGTTTTATATAAGAATCATTATTGTACAGGATGACAATAATGTGTTTTTAATTCATTGAAGCTTATAAATAGTTCTTCCGTTAAGTTTATTAACGTTATTTTTTTCTGTCATTGAAATACTAAGTATTTATTTACAATTTTGCAACAACAAAAAAATCCGACATTAAAGTTGCAGCTCATATTGCTTTAAATGCTTATAAATGATACTGAGGACGGAGTTGTAAATCCTTCAACCATTTGAATTTTCTCAAGTGTCATGCCATGAACATTATAAGTAAATTCTTCATAGAAAGATTTTTTTTTTATTTTTGCCTATTTCATTAAGCAGTATGTTTATTGAAAAGGATGTACTCCTGAGAAATTCCCTTCAAATGTAGAGAAAATAACATATGGTGAGGGTTCCTTTGTTTATTAAGCATTTCAAAATTGATTGATTGATTACTGTTTATTTTTACGCTGAGTCGGCAATATTTCAGCGATAAACTTTAAATTGAAGAATTGAACTATAGACAAGGAAAATACTCTTGAAGGGTTTTGAAAAAGATGGATTTCTCATTTCTCTTCAAACCACTGTTAGTGGGTTAGGGTTAGTATGACCTTTACAAAGTGACCATCATCTTCGAGATATTTTTTTCAAAATCATCATAATTTTTTTTCGGTTTACAGCAACTTCTCAAATTGATTTTTTTTCTATCATTAGTTCTTATACTTTAAATCTACACTCTCCTTTAACATATAGTACCCTTCTTTATTTCTAAAGGAAGATTGAATGTGTTTATAAGTTACGATTGATACATTAATTCATTCTCTAGTACATTGACCTTTTAAATGTACTTGAATTCAAGATGCTGAGACATGAACTATAAGATGTGATTATATTCCAATCCAAACCTTGGGTGTTATGGCATGTTCATGATTATGTGACATGGAGACACCAAAGCCAAAATTTAATTTCCTTACTCCTGCTTGGAGAGACACAACCCTAGTTTTCAGAAAATCAAACAACTGTTAAAGTTAATATATCTACACGCACTGTAAGGATTGCTTATCAATACTCTGAGCGACAATTTCTGTAGAACAATGACCGATACGATAACATAACTCCAAATGTTGGTCAGGTAATTATACATTCTAAAATGCCCTGAACATTTTACGTCCACTGGACCATTTTATCTGTTCCAAGAGTTGTTTAAGACTTTTAAAAATTAACCGTATTTTAACCCTGTCGATTTAGTTTTCACGATTAACACAGATTAAAATAGATGTATCTGTAAATATTGTTTACAGGCCAGGGTGTACACTGTTTATAGATTATATTGATGATAAGATTACGACGTGATCCAAATACTCATATTTCGTAGAAAATACTAGAAGTCTTCAAGTGAACTTTCTACATGTATGAAGTATATGACTTACTAGTAAACAGCGATGCCTGTGAAATCTATATTCGTGGACTAGAGAAAAAAATTTAATTTTGTATAAAATTTCAACAAACATACAAATCCTTTCATGATTAACTTTTTTTAGTATTTTACTATTTCTATCATAATAATTATTTGAGTAATCGATAAATACAGATTACAGTAAGTCTAACTTCTTTTTTTTATCAAAAAGTCTTAAAAATTGTTCTATGGTCCTCACCTTACATTGTTCTTTGGTCCTCAACTAATCTTGTTCTTTGGTCCCCAACTAATCTTGTTCTTCCGTCCTCAACTAATCTTGTTCTTCCGTCCTCATCCAACCTTTATCAAGGTCATTACCTAACCTTGTTCTCTGGTCCTCACCCAACTTTGTTCTTCCTATACCTCGCTTAACTTTGGTTTTGGTCTTTATGTTACTTTGCTTTATAGCTCTTAAATATTCTTTGTTCTTTTGCTTTACCCTCTCCCTTATTTCTATATCATTATTCTATATGAAGTCGTTACTTTAACTATTTCTCAATGATATTTTTCTTAGATTTTTAAAATGACGCTTTTGCATATTGGTCCTGCATTTCTATTGCTGTTTGGTGGTCTGCATCAAGTAACGACTTCGGGAAGCTGCGAAAGTACAATTTTGGAGAAATTAAACCACGAACTGAACAGCTCGTCTTCTCCTACATATCACGTCACAGCAAAGGATGTTTTAAAAACCTTCTTCTTAAGAATCAATGGACAATATAGATTTAATGCAACAAAAGAACGCAGATGTAAGGACAAGCAAATAACTTTTGAGCAGGTTTGTCAAGTCTTTGTTTTACATTTCAAGTAATTAGAATTATATATTAATCTTGTTTTAAAACATTAAAATGTATTTCACGGTTATGCATTACAAATAATGGTCGGAAAAATTCTGGATTTCTAACTTTTATCCAGAGCACTCTGATAAGAGAAATCAAATATATAAAAACAACAAAAAAATAACCAAATGTCCGTTCAAACAATACTACTTGTTCACTGTGATTTCTAGTTTATAGACAGAACAAGCAGACATCTGAGTAAGCGTACTGTATGTGGAAGCTCCTACTTCAGGATCAGCGTGGCAGCCCTCGCCATTTTTCTTCACTTAGACAGGTATGTCTGCGGGGAACATAACGAACCTTACCAGAGATATCTAGACCAAATCACCCACCCGGATCTTCTGCGCTTCCTCAGCTTTCATACCCGTCACAGCAGGAACAGGACGATATCCTCTAATAGGCAGGTGCGTATGCTCTTTCTAAAAGGTAGCATTGTCTTCCAACAATTCAGGATTATATTGTAATTACATAAATGTTAAAAAATAGGAAAATAAATAGTAGAGGTCAAATAAATCGTTTTTGTTTTTCAATTGTAGTGTCTAAATTATGTCAGACTGCAAAGAATGTTAAGTATGATTCGAGAGGAACAACAACATTTTCAACATCAACATTCCAAACGCTTCTTGTCATCAGAGAGTCCAACTTCTAATGGGATTAAAGAAAAACAGGACATGTTTTTCACGCATTTATCAAATGTGACGTCATACTCAGGCAACATTACTACACTGAATACTACAGAATCTCCATTGATGTCAACCTTTGATTTGTACCACAACAACACAGACATCCATTGCTTCCTTGCACATTCGAATTCCCACGTAGTCTGTTTTGGCTTTAATTCAAATTATATACTCACATCTTTTCACTGTTCGAGACTGAGGAAGTCAGACCTGTATAATTGTGTGAAGTACAGACGAAATGCTCGAATCAAACTCGACAATGAAACCTTGACTCTTGTTTTGTTTTCTAAATTAAACACTGAAAACTACGACGACTTGATCTCAAAGTTGAATTTAGCGTTTCCGTTAGAATCCCTTCCATGGGTAATAAAATATCAGACTTATAAACCCCTCCGACTACAGATAAATCAAACTCTCACGATTGCTGAAAAGCTTGAAATTCCAGACACTATTTCAATACAGAACATGGCAAATGATCTACCCAAGGTCATGCCCACTGCAAAAGGTCGCCACCAGCACAAAGAAAGTAAAAATAGTACGCTACCTCAAACAGACGGCAAGGCGAAAAAGCCCAATCAGCATGAAAGTCATAATCACGTGACACAAGAAGAAGCCCGAGCGGGTCTTTTAGTATTTGCAGTCATTAAAGGTAAAAAAAAACTTGGATACAAACAGGAATAAGTGATAAAGAATGTTTTGCTTTAACTGAGTTGACACTGACTATTCTACATGTCTCTACAGAGTATTTGCTACAGCCGAGTGATTTACCCTGTCCGTCAGATGTGCTTCACCAGCTTTATTCCTACTTCAAAAACCCCAATTCCCAGTATCTCACATTTAATGGTGTGTAAATTTTAGAGTATTTAATTCGGTAGAACATTCTTAGGACTTTTGTTTGAAAGAACTGAAATTTTGATTTTCTTTAATTTTAATCTTTTCATTCAAAGATTTGCAGAAGAAATTCCAGAATTTTTTGGATGGTACCTCTGTGTCAAAGCCACATCAAACTCATTCTCACCAAAAAAGATCTCTTACTAAGGATGCATTACAACAATTAAGCTTAAAGGAAAGCAAACATCAAAACACAAAATACGACCATTATCCATCACAGAATGAACAGGATCTCCACACCAGAAGTGGACACCAGTTTGAGCATCATCACCACTATTCCAACCCTATCCCTGGGCATGGGCATCATGAAAATCCGCTTACCGGACATGGAAATCAGCAACCATCACGTGCTCATAGTAACCTTTGTTCCCGTCTTTTCTCTTTCGAGCACAATGAAAGAAATGATCATCATGGAGAAAGTATAAACAAGATAAACTGGGTAAAGCAATTTACAGTCATTTACACTTTACTTTATTTTAGATAATGTCTCTTTTGTAGAAGAATTTTTCTTTTATCAAGGGATATTCTTTTAATCACTTTCTTTTTTGCATAAATGTATATGTATTTGTTACCATTTTAATGTAGACGATATCTTATGTGATTCACGTTATTTATAATTATTGGGACACTACTGTAGAATTTATAATTTATTGGGACACCCTAACCTCTGTGACTTCTATCTATTTTGGTGGGAAACGAACAACAATCGGTCTACAAGACTTACATGAAATGGCGCCTGCTCTTTTACTATTGCTGACGCATGGTAATGAAGAAGCCGTTTCAACTCACTCTGAAGTGACATACATGCAAAGTAAATAAAATAACCATAAACCAAATAGAGTATTTCTTTTCTCTCGACGTTATGTTAAAAAAAATCATTATTTAGCTTGGCCACGGGTTTTGTGACCAGTATAATTCCATTTTGTGAAAATAGAATGGACACAAAACCTGTGGCTTGCGACGGTGAGCTTTGTACGAATATCAATTATCTAGAACTTGCTTAATAAAATTAAGAGGCAGAATGTACTGTATGTGATTATAAAATGTCTAGGAATTCCTGGCAGTCACTTTTTCTGATTATGTTTTTCAGGTTACGGTCTCGGGACTCTCTGTGTTGTATTCTTGAGCCTCGCCTCGGTTCTGGGAGCTATATTTATTAAGATCACAGGGACCAAGAAGAAGGCGTACCTTCTGTCCTTTCTCCTGTCTCTCTCCGTGGGGTGCTTGCTGGGGGACGCCATTCTTCACCTGGTCCCATCTGTCAGTCAAGTCTTAAACAGAAAATTACATTTTATGCATTATCATTGTTAAAATCGTCACGAGATAAAAACATAACTCTCAAACGAAATGAATAGTCATGGAAATTATGACATGTTTATGTTGAGTAAGTTGAGTAGGTTCGTGTGATTAATTCTGTTCAATAGGTATTGGGGAAACACGACCATGACAACCTTGGGAAACTCATTATCCTCATAGCTACAATGTACGCGTTCTTCCTGATACAAATGATTGTCAGTCTGTTCCACAGGAATCATGATCATTCTCAGGTATTGCGTTCATTTTTATTGCTTGAGGGGTCTGCAGAATTTCAGCCATATTTAGGTGGAGTATTACAGTGTCACAGTGTATACTATGAATTCGTATATCATAATATTAAGAAATATTTCGTGTTTTCCAGATATTTATGAAAGAAAGTCAGAAATCGCAAGAGATTCATGTGTCTAAGAATGAAATAATGGAACTTGAAAATAAGGTAAGCTGAGAGAGAGAAAGAGAGAGTGAGGGGTTCCTGAAAGCAATTTTCAGTATTGCTTTTCATCACAATAGGCAAGAAAGAATGACGCCGTGCTTAACAACACCCCAAGGGAGGATAATCCGATGGAGCGACAAGAGTCTAACGAGAGTCAGAAGGACCTGACGATAGAAGAATGTCCATCAGAGTCCAACGTCTCCACGTACGACAAAGGTCGAATACCTTATATTAATCTGTTGAAGACTTAGACTTGTAATATTATCTTTTGACACTGTAATTGATTCTCTGAGTTAATTTTCAACAGACATCATTCCCGCCGTGTGGATGGTAATCATTGGTGACTGTGTACATAACTTTGCTGACGGTCTCGCCATTGGCGCCACGTTCACCCAGAGTTTAACAGAGGGATTGTCCACGGCAATAGCAGTGCTCTGTCATGAGGTTCCACACGAGTTAGGTCAGTATCCCCCTTGTTGTGACACTAGATATCACTAGTTCACTCTCTTGTTTTGTCCGTACGTCCGTCCGTCTGTCTGTTACGCTTTGGGGTACCCACCTCTTATCTGCAGCTCCTCTTATACCACTTAGTGAAATTTAATGAAGCTTTCACAGAATACATATTGCTATTGTGCACCTTTTATTTTACTTTTTGATCCGACACATATTTTGGGTTTCCCGGCCACAGCAAAACATAGACTATGCCATTATAACCATAAGGGAGGCGGGGGGGGGGGGGTATTATTTAGTGAGGTCATTGCTCACAATATCTCTAGTTTAAAGTCAGTATTTCGTAAAATTCCTGGGTCGTAAGAGTTAGGGTTAAGGAGTTCTTTATTGTTTGTAGGGGATTTCGTCATATTGCTTGCCACAGATTTCACAGATTTCATTGTGTCATTGCTTGCCGCCTGGCTTTACGGAGTTCCATGGTATATGTAGGTGAATATGCCAGTTTGCCTTGCCTTGACTTCACATAGTTCTCTTATATGTAGGTGCTTTCGGCATTTTGCTCGCCATGATTCCACGGTGTTCTTTGTTATATGTAGATGATTTCGTCATGCTGCTCGCCCCAGGTTTAACGGTGTTCTTTGTTATATGTTAGTAACGTTTGCAATTTTGCTTCCCATGACTTCACGGTGTTCTTTCTCTAGATGATTTCACCATCTTGCTCGCCGCTGACTTCACGGATTTCTTTGTTATATGTAGGTGATTTTACCATTTTGTTTGCCATGACTTCACGGTGTTCTTTGTTACATGTAGGTGATTTTGCCATCTTGCTCGCCGCTGGCTTCACGCTGTTCTTAGTTATATGTAGGTGATTTCGCCATATTATTTGTCATTACTTCACGGTGTTCTTTGTTAAATGTAGGTGATTTCGCCATCTTGCTCGCCGCTGGCTTCACAGTGAAGAGAGCCATTGTGGTTAATCTTCTCTCCAGCATCACCGCCTTCGTTGGACTCTTCATAGGAATCTCCGTGGGCGCGGAGTTCAAGATCTGGATCATTGCTGCTGGGGCCGGCATGTTTCTATACATTTCTCTGGGAACGATGGTATGGTTTTGTTTCTTAGTACACTAGTCAAATATTAATTGTATTACACAGTATTAAGATGTATATGTGAATGTGTTCTACTATATATAAAACTCGTCACTCATGGAATAAAAATGGAAGCCCTGACTAGGCTTTCGCCCTTGTACCTTTTGCAATGCTAATAGTACCCGGCTGGATACAGAGCATGATATTATAAAAAGATATGAAATATTCTCTTTACATCATAGTGTATCAAATATTAATATGAATCTCGTTTTCAGATTCCAGAGCTGGTCCGTATATTCAGAAACAATCCATGTAAAGAAATGTTCTTTTCCTTGAATGCGGGCTATATTTTTGGAGTGGTGGGAATGTTGTTGTTGGCAATTTACGAAGAGGGAATAAAAATTACGTAATAATAATAAATACGCTTCACTTTGGAATATTTATTAGCAATTATCAAGATTCAGTAAATTGGTCCTGTTAATTAATTATTATAAACATGATAAATGAGACTAAGTAAATTGATCAAATGATAGATAAGTACAATTCAGTAAATTAAACATATGGAGATAACGAACAGTACATTCAAGCTCAAAAGTCCATAAAACAATACAATATAGTAGTAGAGCAGACATGGTCCTGCAAAATATTAGCTGGTAGGATCAGGTGCCATGGAGGAGTGGGCATCCCCTACCGACCGGTCACACCCGCCGTGTGCTCCTTGTCATGATCGGGAAATAACGGAAAAATCCGTCGTCAATTCAGTGTATAAATAATGGACTAACTATTAGAGTGAAAAACGTCAGTCAACATTTGAATCATGATAAATTGTACTTGCTGACAATGTCATTAGATCGACCATAGAACTTACGAAATGGTGACTTTAATCGAGACTGCTGATATTCTTGTTTCATCCACTTGTTTGTCAATAATTTACCTCGTATTAGAAATTGTTCATACGTACAGCATATTCTTGCGTATCGAATCAGCTGAGAAATTTAAACTCCGTATGCAGGCGATGAAGGTTTATTGCTGCATAGGTTAGGGAAGTTGACGATTGGAAAGTCAAATTCATCGCGTTTATCATAAGAGCTTGGTTGTTAGATTACCATTTACATCTTTTTCAAGTAAAATATCCAAATATGAAACAGATGTGTCAGACTCTGTGGTATCTTTTATCACAAGCTCAACGAGATATATCGTATCGACATAAGAACGGAAATTACCATTGGCTAATTCACAGTATGTCGTCGATGTCTAAATGTTGAGTTGAAGGCCACAACAAGTATTTTCTTCTTTTCATGTATAAGATTTTGGAGAATTTCTGCTTCATATGAAAAATAGATATGCTTATAACGGGGCACTATTGGTACGCATAAAAATTTCAATAGATTGTTGGAACAGGCTAGTCTCCGAAAACCACCTAGATATTGTCAATCAGAAACTCAAGCATCTTTTTGGTGTCAACTTCAGAGTACTTGTATGTACAATTAGAATTTTTTTTACAAAATAATTTTGCAGATGACCAATGACAAGGCAGGTTAATTTACGAGTTCCATTTTTATTGAAAAAACAGCTTCAATGATATCAAAAAGCCTGGACTTTAATTAATTGTGGGGAATGGTTGTGAGTAAAGTTGAAATTTTTTAAGCTGTTGATATTTATAAAATCTTGTAACTTTGATTAAATTTGATTTATTTATAAATAAATATTTATAGTTAAGTAAATTTGATTTATTTATTACATAATATTTAAGATGACATATATTGTCGACTTTTTGCATTTATTTTATGATACATTTTCTAACAAATGAACATGAATGTAAAAATAAAATTGATTCAAAGGCAAAGAAACTGTGTTTATTTTCCTTGGTCAGAGAATGAGCGACAGTGCTTCCAGATAATTTTGAGGGATTCAGTGAGATTAAATCACTCTGCCAGTTTTGAAAAGTTTTGCGTGAAATTGCATCATCAGTAATACTACAACCCTAACTCCTGGGTTCAAAATTTGAATTAAGAGTCATTTAAATTATTTCAAGGACGTTTGCTTATCAATATAAATAAGTATATACATTCAAATTATTTTTTTAATTCTCTGTATCTCCATGTAAAGCTATGATCCCTAATCCCAAAGTATTGTGATTTAAACAAACTTGAATCTGCACTATCTGAGGATGCATGTAAGCATGCTTTTAGCAAAGAAAGAGGCAAGCAGTTTTGATTTACTATAACTAAATTTTATTGTATCCAAAATCAGTTTCTTCTCCATTTGGAGAAATATTAGTAATCACTTCTCATGTCTGCTTCTTGTTTTAATGGCTATTCATCTCTCAATTATTTGAGCAGGTGATATCTGCTATCAGAATACATGACGTCTACCATTTGATTTAAATAAGTGATATCCACTACCTCCTCTAGTACAATCTACCCCTGAGGGCCATGAGTAACATTTAATCTACACTACCTGAAAATGCCCGTATAACCAATTTGTAAGACATCTTATGTAATTTAATTAATAAGCCACCATTCATGCCATTCTGATAAACAGTGATGAAAGCTCACTTAAATCAGCCACTTTATTAAGTACTATAGGTATTTTGATGCTTTTCTATCCATTATCACAAGTTAAGGAATCACTTTTCATTATTTCAGCAGAATAATAATAATCAAAAGGTAAAAATTGACATTTTTATTTACATAATAATGATATAAATGTACATTTAAGCAGATTCGGACAGCTAGAAACCTTGAACAATGTATGAACAGACGTGTCAAGGAATGTATAAGAATAACTGTTATAAATAAATAATAGCTACTATTTGTAATGGTTATGTGACTTTGATCACAGTCACTCAATGTTTTCAGTGTACAGGTGAGCTAGGCAGGCCTGGGGTCAGGTCAGCTAGCCTGGGAAGGGTTGAGCTGCTATGATGGGCGACTGTTAGATGGAAGAGTTGATGAGGAACGGGCATTAGGCTGTCTGCCCTGAATTCCGAATGAAGCGTACTGTCTCGTGCCTCGTGTAGGCCTAAATGAAGAAATAAAAATACTTTATACATGTTCATGAACAGATATGCATTAATCATTTTTAAATAAAATGTTATAGAAATCTAGTTAATGCAGGTACCTGTACATCATCAGATTTCATTAAAGTACATGTCTGCATTACAAAGTTAAGTTGCAGGAGAACTGGATTGTGTCTGCTATCTATTATTTTTCTTTGTGGCTATTTAATGCTTTTGACAATACAAATATGTTGAGAGGGCACAAAGTATGGAATCCTGGACAGAGGTGAGATCAGGTGCCTAAGAGGAGTAAGCATCCCATGTTGACCGGTCACGCCCACTTTGAGTCTTATGTATTGATCAAGTATGACAGGACATTCCGTTGACAGCAGGCATACTTTGATCAGAGCTCACATAAACCTGATGACCTTATAATGAAATTAACTAACCCCCCTGTTCCTGAGACTGCGAAACCTTTGCCTTTAATCTTTTTACTGAGGTGTTGAATCCACATCTTCTGTTTCTCAGTGGTTTCTGCTAACAGCAGCATCTCCTTGGCCTGAATATTCTGATCAAAGTTCACTGTAAAACAAGACATCTCATTAGACTGTATATTCTGATCAAAGTTCACTAAAAAACAAAACATTATCTTAGCCTGTATATTCTGATCAAAGTTCACCAAAAACATTTGGATATCACAAGAAGTGTCTTTAGATAAACATCACAAATGTTTTATATCTCTCTTAATACATGTATATTTATGTCTTCAAGTAATCTCAATTTCAGACACTGACAAATAAATAATACAAGTTTTCTTCTTTTTATGTTAACTTCATACAGAGAGACAAAGAATACTTTTCAGTTTAACTATAAAATTAATCCTGGTAAAGCATTGTCTTGTCATTTGCTATTTTAACCATACAATTTTTTTTTCCTTCCTACATACCTTTACAATATCCTACAAATTCTTCATTTTTATCTAAATGGTCTTTATGAACCTTTGTATGGCATCCTACAATAAATAAACCAAATCACTCAATCACTGATTATAATGAAAACCACTTAAAAAAAGAAAACGAACATTAAATGTTAATATACAATACATAGAGTATTGCAAGTATCTCACAGTTATCTACCTTACTACCACTCTTTAGAGGGGGAGTCAAGGAAGCTCTAAATCTCATAAGATTTCTAGAGCATACCATTGTTTACAGTAGTGACAAGTTTATGATTTAAATATTATGCAAAAAAAAACAATCTATTGCAAAGGGTTCAACTCCAAAAAGTACATTGTCAAATAAGGAGTTTCCAACAGATGTTTCCTACCTTCCCCATAAAAGAGTTCTGCTAAGTTATTTATTGCGATATCAAGTATTATTGTTGATATGTGATTATTAGAACCTAAGTAACATTGATAAAAGACACAGAAACTGATACTAACCATACGTTCAACATCAACTTAATTTTCTGCATCTCCCATCAATATTTCATGACAGTTTTCTGTAGTATTTTGTGACACTGGTGTTAGGATACTTACGTCTACACTCCAGGGCTTGTGGAGGATGAAGCATGTGCCACACAGGCTTGTTACAGGAATCACATGTGGTAGGAGTACGGTAATGAATCGGTACAAACTCGTGGCCTTTATGTTTCTCCACCGCTGACTTGTCCTACAATCAAAGTCACAGGTATGAAGGAACAGAGTAAAAGATTATCAGAAGTCACTATTGTTCTATCTTACATTATTTTGTGATTTGAGTTATCAAACATACTTGAAACAGAGATAAATTCTCTGTATATTTATCCTGTACTTCTCTTCAGCTTATCCAAATCTCTGTTGTTCAAGACATATGAAATTTACCTTTAGAGTGCCAAAATGTATGATAAAAGATGCATGTCTGAAGTAAACAGTTCAGTGATAAATATGATTATTCTCTAACTAACCTGGTTGAGATTACCATGACCCATTTTCTCTATAACTTACCTGAGGGACATTATCATGACCTATTTTCTCCATAAGTTACCTGATGGAGATTTGTATGACCTATTTTCTCTACAGCTTTCCTGGGGATGATTATCATGACCTATTTCTTCTATAACTTACCTGAGGGAGATTATCATGACCTATTTCCTCTGGTCTTCGATTCTCCCCCTCTGTAGCATATAGCACCTGTAACAGAGCAGTTCACTATATTCATAACATAACTCAAGTTGACAATAAAGATGTACAGCAGCATTAACATATAATCAGATATATACACTAAATGATGATATAACATCTAGGAGACTGAAGTGAAAGAAATGCACACTGTTAGCAATAACAGAGATATTTCATACTGAATGTCCCCTAACAATGAGTTATATATTTGTACAAGACTATTACTGCACCTATAGTGGACTAACAATGAGTTATATATTAGTACAAGACTATTACTGCACCTATAGTGGACTAACGAGTTATATATTTCTACATAACTATTACTGCACCTGTAGTGGACTAACAATGAGTTATATATTTCTACATAACTATTACTGCACCTGTAGTGGACTAACAATGAGTTATATATTTCTACGTGACTATTACTGCACCTGTAGTGGACTAACAATGAGTTATATATTTCTACATGACTATTACTGCACCTATAGTGGACTAACAATGAGTTATATATTTCTACATGACTATTACTGCACCTGTAATGAACTAACAATGAGTTGTATATTTCTACATGACTATTACTGCACCTGTAGTGGACTAACAATGAGTTATATACTTGTACAGGACTATTACTGCACCTGTAGTGGACTAACAATGAGTTGTAAATTTCTACATGACTATTACTGCACCTGTAGTGGACTAACAATGAGTTATATATTTCTACATGACTATTACTGCACCTGTAGTGGACTAACAATGAGTTGTATATTTCTACATGACTATTACTGCACCTGTAGTGGACTAACAATGAGTTATATATTTCTACATGACTATTACTGCACCTATAGTGGACTAACAATGAGTTATATATTTCTACATGACTATTACTGCACCTGTAGTGGACTAACAATGAGTTGTATATTTGTACATGACTATTACTGCACCTGTAGTGGACTAACAATGAGTTATATATTTCTACATGACTATTACTGCACCTATAGTGGACTAACAATGAGTTGTATATTTCTACATGACTATTACTGCACCTATAGTGGACTAACAATGAGTTGTATATTTCTACATGACTATTACTGCACCTATAGTGGACTAACAATAAGTTATATACTTGTACAGGACTATCACTCACCTGAAATATCCTTGGAATATCTTTAGAGTCGGCTCTGTACACATCTCCTTGTGTGACCGGCCTCACGTGGAATAAACATCTACAAGTATGTCATATTTATAACAATCATCTACAAGTTTATATCCAATTTAAAACAAACATCTACAGGTCCATATCCAACTTAAAAATTATTCCTTTCCCCAGCTTAACATGCAGATTGGAAACATTAGATAATGTACAGACAATATATTTACCTCCCCAATACATCTGACATTTAATACCTACTCTATGTCTAACTGATCAGAGACATACTGTTTACCTCCCCAGTATACATGACATTATATACTCACTCAATGTCTAACACTAGAACTGGATCGGAGACATTTTGTCGATCTGCCTCTGTGTTGTAGAATAACACTTTTTTACTGCTAACAACAACATACTGCTTCTTCCATCCATACTTCTTTATGTTTTGTTTGTTTGGCACTGATAACCACCCCTCCATGTAAGTATCACTGGAGGCTGTGAATGTAACAAGGAAAAATGTTAATGAAAGCTGTAAATATAACTAAAAAACTGATAACCACCCCTCCATGTAAGTATCACTGGAGGCTGTAAATATAACAAGAAATAAGGAAAATTAAAACTGTTCATATAACATGGGTAAGAATTACAGAAGGTTCTAAATATCAACGTAAGTTTAAGTATCAAAGAATATTGATAGAAAAGATATTTATCCACGACGCCAGTTTATAACTTACATGTACTGGTCATACTAAAATCTCCGTCCTCAATATGAGAGCTATTTATAGATATTTTATTTATAACTTACATGTACTGGTCATACTAAGATCTCCGTCCTCAATATGAGAGCTATTTATAGACAAGTTATCCATGACGGCGAGTTTCTGTCGGAGCTGCTCGATCTCGCTTTCTTTAGCGTCCAGTTCCATCTGTAACTTCCCCTTCTGTTGCCCCTCCTCAAACAGTGCTGCCTGCGTCTCCGATAAATCTCGCGAATATTTCTCCACCATCTTGTTATACTTTTCTTTCTCCTGTTTTATTAAAACAGTATTTAGTTAGAGATCTAGAGAAGAGTCATTTCCTTTGCTTGTTAACTTAATTTTCAGTCATTTACTCCTCCTACACAAGTGCTTGAGAGCTAATATGCACTAACACTCATCTCAAATTGTAGCTGGTTGTTATATTTTACCATATATAGATCTTATAATCATTATTTTTTACCATATGTAGATCTTGCTGCAGTTTTCTCATCTCTTTCTCTTTTTTCTTTATATTCTGCTCTGCAGCGCTGTTTTTCGAGGATTTGGACTGGTATCCTTTACGATTCATTATTTCTGCTAACTTATTGACAGCCTATAAAACAACAGAGGTCAGTGAGAAAGATGGAAGTAACTCAAATACTCACTACACACAGGAAGTAACAATTACAGCTTTATTATTGTAAAAGAAAATTTACTCAGTCACTCACTGATGGCCATTATATTCCTTGTGTAGTAGCATATAAATATGTGAATTGTAACAACTGTACATTGACTTAGTATCTGGATCAACTGTACATTGACTTACCTGGATTTTCTTGAGTTTTTCTTCCTCCAAGTTTTTCTTGAGTTTCTCGATTTCTGTATTTGAGCCACCAGACTGTGACTGAACCTTCTGAAGTTCTAAATATAGATCACAAGTTAAAAATATAGATCACGATTTTTCAAAGGAGATCAAACTCATCAGACTCTTTCTGAAGTTCTAAATATAGATCACATTCATCAGTCTAAAACATGAACTTTTGTATTTCAAGATCAGCCTGCGTATTAGACCACAACTTTACATTCCTTGTTAATGTAACATAAATGGCAGAAATTGTCAATGCCCTTTCCATCTGTGATATCAGTAAAAGATCAGAGATCATTCGCCTTTACACATATTCATCCCTTGTCCATCTTTTCTGATCATTCAATGACTTTTATCTGACAATAACTAACCTTCCTGGATTTTCTTTAACTTGTTTTCTGTGTCCTCTTTCTCTGACCGCACCTCCTCGATTTCTTTTGTAAATTCTCGTTTGGATTCCTCCAACTAAAAGAAATTAAAACAAACAGTTGTTCAAGCTTGCAAAAGGCATTACATTGCATTCTTGAGACTAAAACAGGGACATTGAATTGCATGTTAAAAACTATAACTATTAATTGAAATGAATATGAATTACGCCTGAGTTCAAAATATTCCTTACCACAAGAATCATGTGTTCCTTTTTGCTGAGGTCTGTTTTATGGCGATTCATCAGCTCCTTGATTTCCAGTTCTAGATATGTCTTCTCCTTCTCCACGTCTGACAGCTGTTCCTCTGCGATAGACCGGGCCAGGCCCTCGGAATCAGCCTTAGCCAGGGACAGCTGGAGCTGAGCAGCCAGAGAATCCCTAAAATAAACACAACAATTAGAGAATCCCTAAAATAAACACAATAATTAGAGAATCCCTAAAATAAACACGACAATTAGAGCAATATGAGCTATAGACCAGGCCAGACCCTCAGAGTCAGTGGTCAGTTCATGTACGTACTTTTCCTGTTGGACACTCTCTAAGTCGGTGTACAGTACTCACTTTTCATGCTGGAACTCTAAGTCTGTGAACAGTACTCACATTTCGTGCCAGACACACTCTTGGTTAGTGTATTAGTGACCTATATACAGTGGTCAGTACTCACTTTTCATGCTGGACACTCTCGAGGTCTGTGGTGACATCCTGGTACTGTTTTCCCTTATCCTCTACATCTTCCTTTAATTCTTTTACTTGAGTTCTGTACAATGACTGGAAAAATCAAAACATGATGTACAGCGAGTGATCCAGGTAAGATTCTTTTGTTTCAGAGAATTATAAGTATATATACATGTACTTACAAAGAATTATAAGTATATACATGTACTTACAGAGAAATATTGTTCTGCCTCCAGCTGGTCTTGTAATTCCTTCATCTGGAGGTCATTTATTGAGAGATCTCTGTAAATAATTACATATATGTATATAACATGAATTCTACTGCTAGTTAACTGCATAAACAGGAAAGGACCTATCAAGGACAAATCTACAGATATTAGCTGATCATTGATTCACAAAAAATTGCAATGTGTTGCAATACATTATAATATTGTATTCACATGAAAATTTGATCAATAGCTTAATTTAATAAGTGATCTACAGTATATACTGCCAGGAAAAGCAATACCATAAAATGGTTTTCCCTGAACTTTATTTGTGCATTGCTTATACCCACTCCTGAATTTACACAAATAAAAATTGTACATACTCTCTAACTTTACGTAGTTCCTCCTCTAGATTTCTCTTTTCTTCTTTCAGGTCATCAATTTCCTACAACAGAAATTAAATAAACAACAAAATACTTTAAAATAATTAAATCTGAAATCCTAAATACAAGCATTTAACTTTCACTGCATATTTCATACAAAGAAAGATGATGCCATTACAGTAAAACTCATTTAGTATGAACACGGATAATGCGAATTCATGAATATAGCAAAGTTATCTCGAATCCCAAGCTACATAAATTCATTAAATCTTTTTACGGATATAACAAATTACGGATATTAAGTAATTTCAAAGGCCCAAGCAACTTTGTTATGACTGAGTTTTACTGTAGTTACCTTGTTAAGCTGCTTCTCCATGGTTTTGTAGCGAGTCAGGTCATGGGTTTGGCTCTTAAAGTCGCCCTGCATCAGATTTCTCCTCTGAATTTCCTGCTCTACTTGTAGGGAATAGTTTTTGGACTTGAAAATGAAAAGGTTGCAAGATTACTCAAGAAGCATTGAAAATATTTAGTCCCATTAATAGAAACACATTACTCCATTGCTTTGCAGGAAAGCAATGTTTGAGGAATTTCTAGCTCATAAAAAACTTAACTAAATTGTATGGCTATAATTTCTAGAGCTGAAACGAATACATAAATCAACATTTGAATATTTGTGAATGTAATTCGATTCGTATTCGAACATTCGGTAATTAAATAAAAAAGTTATTATGCCTTTGCATATCCTTGCAAATCCTATTGTTTATTATTATATATCAATGTATAAGATGGACCCGTGTAAGAAATAAACGTCTGTTCCAAGCCGTTTGACATGTAAATGTGCATTAGGACTCGCGTTTATTTTCAAGAAAAAAAATTAGAAAAAAAATCTTTATCAACAATGATAAGCCTCTTTACTTTTTTACATTAGGTGACTGTATTGCATTCCAATTACGTGAAAAGCCCGATCAGCAAACCAGCAGGTGCTTGCCATGTTTTACTGTTATTAAAAAAAAAACGGTTCGTTTCCGGAAGCGTCCTGTGAATTTTTTAATCAATATTTAAATTTAAAATATAACATTCTCAAAAAATATACCGGTAATATAATGTATATTTTTCATATATAATTTCTGCAATTATTTATAAATTATAAATCTGAACAATCGATTCCGTTTGTTGATCCAGAATATTTCTCTCCGCTCAATATAAATTTTTTATTACTTTCGAAAATCAGGGCAGTCAATGTCACCCATATCTAAATTAATTCGGAGACACATGAGGTTGCTGAATATTTGGCTTGAAGATGATTCAATAAATCTGACGTCGTGTCTTTATCAGGCCAGTAGTACCATGTGGACAAAGTTTACAACCTGTCTTACACATGTATTTGCTTTTGTTTTCTTCTTTTTCCACCGTTATCAAAAAGAAGTGGATAGGCCTACACTATTTATTGCATGAAATACGTTGTATAAAACATGTGACCGAATATTCGAATACAAATTTTCCATTCGAATATTCGTGAAAAACTATTCCTTCACGAATGTTCGAACATTCGTTTCAGCTCTAATAATTTCAAATTCAAAACTTGATGTAAAATCTTCTTTTAAACCCTAAACTCTTCTCAGAAAGAATTTTAAATTTTTTTTTTTATCATTCAGGATGCATCTTTACATATCATATCCATTGAAGGGGGAAGAAATTGCTACACGATTTTTTTCGTAAGTTAAACAAACACTAAATGAAAAATACTTTTAAACAGAAAAAAACCAAACATATACTGTATACATCGTAACACTTAAGCATGACCAAAACATGGTCAAAAAAGAACTTAATCTAAAAATTTGAAACTTTTCAGGAGAATTTGCACTAACTTACCACTATTGTGTAAATGAATTGTTTTCTCTAGAATGAACAATCATCATGTAGTTGCCTCTATAGTTAGTTAATCGTATTTCTTGAGTGATCAATTATTAGGCAGCAGCCTAAAGATAAAGAGCTTCACTGTAACTACTACTATTAAAATGAGTACCTTTTCTTTTTCGTTTTTCAGCTCGCCCTGCACGGCTGTCACTTGTTGCGTCATCTGTAACAGATCCACCTTCAGTTCTGATTTCTCCTTCTCGGCTTGAAGTAACTGGTTCTCTACGGTAATTCGAGCAGCTTTCTCCTGGTCCAGCTTAACTTGGATGTCTGCAACAAACAAAACCTCCATCAAATGTCAGCCATTTATTTCATAAGTTAGAGAGCGCAATTGTAATTCTATATACACTAACTGAACACTCTTTACTACTAATTTGACTAATTCCTTCTATATACATGAGTAATATACTGATTAAGGTTTCCTAATATATAAGTACAGGTAAACTTCGGTTTCTCGACATCGGATATGTCGACAACCAGGGATATGTTGACGTCCGCCCACGGTCCCGGTATTATTTACTATATAAATGATTTGCAAAAACTCTGATATGTCGACCTCGGTAATGTCGACCTCGGTAATGTCGACTACCCCGCTTATCTCGACATATATTCACAGTCCCAAGAGCAAAATTTACCTGGTATATGTCGACATCGGGGCAATTTCTGCTCTACTTAGTCTAATTGTTTGTCAGCTGGTCGCTCATCATGCACGGACGACTCCGTGTATCTCGATGTCGTCAGAAATTCACACCTTTCACACCCATGTTTTGACTACATACTGCTTCTGTAATAATGTGTTTGTAGAGGAATCCCAAGCAAGCACCCTCAGTGTCTCTTAGACGTTAATTGTTTAAAATAAGCTAGTTAACCTTTTCAGCTTGGGTACGTAATATCATTGATAGATCTGCTCAATTCTGCATAAATGGACAAGTGTTTTCAATATCTAACATAACTCTAACATTTTGTAAAAAAAAAAAAAGAAAAAAAAAAAGGTAGCTGAATTATAAGGAATAATATGCACATATATTTTCAATTAAACTTAGAAATTGTGGTAAAAATTCATTCAACAGGAAACAATCAAAATCTATGACTTGCGCACGATTTTCAGTCGTGATATCATTGAGCTTGTTTTAATACGCAAATCCTTTTAAATTTTAATTTCAAAATGAAATAAAAAATAATGACGAATGATGATGAAATAAAAATGAAGTAAAGCGAAATGATTTTAAAAAATACGGCATTGATTTTTTCCCAGTATCACGGAAGTCGACTTTATACTGTTTCGATTTCGGAGTTTATAGAGCGCATTTTGTATCCTGTTCTGACAAAGCAAGTTGCACGCGGATTCGCAGAATGCTGGATGGAAAACTTTTATAAGTAAAATTAGAAGATTTCCATAAAAAGGGAAGCATTCTATTAAATTACATTTGTGAATAACTCCACAGATTATCCAAGAAGTATAGAGCGATAGCTGAAACAAACGAGCTACAGTCTATTGAAGAAATGTATGTAGTTACACGTACATGTTTTTTGCTTAAATTAAGGACGTCGAGTCTTAACTCTGATATCTCGACATTTCCCAATTGTCCCGCCGATGTCGAGATAACGAAGTTTACCTGTACATTCAAAGGTAAAAAACTTCATATAATAGTCCCATCCTTGCTCTTGGAGCTTTTCTTTTTACAAATCTATGCAACTGTACGATTAATAAAGAATAGTAAGAGGTGAATCGTCATCATTAATTCCCCAGTCATTTTGATGTCTTACCATTGATGGCTGAGGTCCTTGCCTCCTCCTTGGACAATAAGATGTCTTTTTTATCGGCGTTAAACCTTTTAATGGTCTCCTGGTGGTTGCCGATTTCTGTCTCTAGTTTCCTTTTATACGTCTCCAACTCCAGTTCTACGTGGCTCTTACTCTGATAAATATTCAAAAAGAGTTACTTTGTACACTCTCTAAAACTACTTTAAAAATTTTATTCTGTTATATTCAAAGATTAAAAGAATCAAAAATTCAAATCTCAAATTCTTGGACAATCAAATCTCTACCTTTATTTTAGAATAATCTTCTATGTGCACTTTTTTGTCATTTCTCAGAACAACTGAACAACTTTTAAATGCTTTTCGTTCCCTGTATTTGAACATCTGATAGTATACCTTTTCTAATCGAATCACTGAGTCCTTGACCTTCTGAAGTTCAAAGGTCAACTCCTTTTCCCGATCCTCAGATTTTCTCTTTTCTGACATTAATGATGAGATTCGATCTATAGAAATAAATATAAAGATCAGGATTTTACGACTACTTTTTTCATGTTAAACTCATGTTTCCACCAATAAATGTAAATGGCCTCATTCTTTTGTTTTAAAGGCAGTATAAAACACAGAAAGTTTTAATCAGGTGAAAGATGATGACAACTTCATTAACTCACCTGATAATTCTGACGTTTGTGAGGACACCTGTCGATTACTGCTCCGTTCATGTTCTAATGTCGACTGTAATTCTAGCACTTCTTTTTGTAAGGACTGTTTAGCACTTAGCACTTCATTGTACTTCATATTTAGCTCAGTGTAACTCTGTTCTGATATATTGTACCTCTGCAAAAGTACAATTTTAAATAAGTCAAAATTAATTTACAAAGGTCATATCATATTACTTACTCAATTTAAATTCTGAAAGTATTTATTGTGACCAAAATCTCAATTCAAGTTTTTTTTTTTTTTCTATACTGATTTAATTTTAAGTTGAATTCATACATATTTTTTATTCAATTTAATTTTTGAAATCATCATTAATCATAATCATTATCTATGTGTTATGATGTAATCCTTATTCAGTGTATATCTTAAAGTGATTCTCATACAGTTTTTCAGCAGTACATGTACATGTTCATCTATTTTAAAACTTTTTACGTGATACATTGTTAAGTAATTCTTAATCAATAAAATCCTTAAGGGTGCCTATAGGAAACACTCACCTGCTGTAATTCTGAACACGATTTCTTGTATTTATTTGCACTTTCAGTCTCGGTTTTTATTTTCTCATTTAAATCTGATATCTGTTGAAAAAAGAATGAACCTTCAAATAATGTCAACAAATCACTTTCTTCCAAACAATAAGATAAAAACAAAACCCATTGTTAAATCTCTTTTTTTAACATTTTCTTTAAAGTGTGAATAAACAGTTTATATCAAATTCTACATAGCCATCATGCATACATGCCAACTTTTGAAAATTCCCATGGGGGATTTAGCGTGTGACGACAATTTTCAAAGCTTTAAATTCGCGACATTTTGTTGTGAAATTAAATGATTATGAAATGATCTTTTTTTAAATTTATAATATTGATATTACTTATCAATACAACTTAAGAATTAATTTAACACAAAAAATAATGTTTTATTTTCCAAAATTGAAATATTTCTGCTAAAATAGGTGCCTCTTTTACTTAAGAAGGGGTATTTAGTTACATATGTAAACAACATTTTTTTTTACCAGAACACATAATTTAGTGAAAAATTGAAAATTTTACAACTTTTAAATCATTTTTTCAAAGGCTTAAAAAATATGAGGTTTTGATACTGTAAAGTCCTGTTTCTGGAAACATTTTTGAGATTTTTTATATATAATAGAAATTCTAATTAGATATTAAATTTACAGAAATTTATACCACCTATCTAAAAGAATTTTTTTTTTTTTTACAGTCATGAAATTTGTCAGTATTGATGGTGCCATTTGGGTATTTCCTTAAGTCATGCACATTACTTTTGGGAGAAGGGAGGGAAAAGAAATTCTAATTGAAATACTTTTGATTGTTTCATCTTAATTTTTCCATAATATTTTAAATGGCAACTTAGAAATATTTTTCATTATAGGTAGATAAAATCATCAGCTATGCTTTGTAGTTTTCTACTTTCGTTTTCAAAAAACGATCTCTTTGGATTCCGATTTTATGGTTTAAGGATATCCGATCCTCAGCTAGGAAGGATAACTCCAAAATTTAATATTTAATTTAAAATGCATCAAAATTAAGCTTGAAAATTTAATTTTTTCATGCAACAATTTTCATTTTATTCATCTTTATAAGGTGCAAGGTTTTTACAAGTCTTAGCAAAGGTCCTATAAAAGTTGACATTTGTGCTCTATAAAAGGATAATAAAAAATAATACAGTTTTAGAGAAATGATATTTTCTTGAATCTAGCCTTACATACCAATGCTTATAAGCATGATATTAAAGAAATAAAAAGTAATTTGTGGTGTCTTGCAATGATAGCAAATGCCTTTTACACCATGTATTATAGAATACATGATGGAAATAGAAGACTAAAAATACCAAAAAAGTATAAAAATCATGACAATTTCTATATATGCCTGGATACCTATCATTTTTTAGCCTAAAATATATTTGTTGATCAATTTGCAATAAGAAAATGCATTGCTGATATTCCAATTCGCTTTTTCTGCAAAAATATTGGAGATTTGACAATTTTCCCTATATGATATGATTAACTTATATCTTTAACTTAAAGGAAATATTGTGGATAAATTTACATAACTTTGTGGATTCAGAGATATTTTTATGAGTATTTTTGATTACTTAACTGCTTATTTTATTAACCTGAGGATCGGACTACCTTAATTAGTATTTTATTGTCTTTAATTTATGTTTTTAATAAAATGACTAACAGTTATCACGTTAATCTATGTGTTTCACCTTGCATACCCCTTAAAACTGACAAGATAATCCCCTAATTGCCCCAAGCTATAAGCTACTTGTACCTGGACAACTGCGTGCATTCATGCATGAAGTGATTTCCTGTGGCTAATTAGTAATGAACACCTGGTTACATAAATGAAACTTATCTGTGTGCATTGAATATACAAGTCTGACATTGTTATCCCGATTGTCAAAATTCAGCGGTAGGGAAACTTTTAAAATCTGAAATTTTAAGGTGATTTTTTTTTTCAAATCGGGAAATTAGGGCAATTTTTCTCTCCCGATCGGGAAGGCGGGATGAAAGGGTAAAATTGGGAGGATCCCACCTAAATCGGGAAAGTTGGCATGCATGATCATGTTAACTGACTTAAATCTTGAAACAAATTTCTCTACAGTGCAAATATTTTCCATTGACCTGTTTACCGCTGATTGAAACAGTCCCACTAAAGACTTACCACTTTCTCCAGACTGTAGATTTTATTGTTAACCTGTTTACTGTTTAACACTAGCTACTTACCACTTTCTCCACACTGTAGATTTTTTCGTTGACCTGTTTACTGTTTAACACTAGCTACTTACCACTTTCTCCACACTGTAGATTTTTTTATTGACCTGTTTACCGTATAACACTAGTTACTTACCACTTTCTCCAGACTGTACATTTTATTGTTGACCTGTTTATCGTTTACCACTATTACTTACCACTTTCTCCAAACTGTAGATTTTTTCGTTGACCTGCTGACTGCTGTTTGAAGCTTCCTTACGAGATTTTATTTCAGCCTCCAACTGTTTTTCTTTGTCTTTCAGCATGGACTGCAGGTTCTTCTTCAGTTCCAACTCCATGTTTAACTTTCTCTGGTTCTGTAAAACAAAACAGCCTCAGCTTAACTTGGGAATCATTTTATTTAATATTAATTTTTTTTCTTTCTGGGAATACTTTACCTTACCCATTTGAAACTTCTTATTTTGAGAACAGATACCACTATTACAAGAGGTGGTTTGAAATCTAGAGATTCCTGTAAATCTCTTTGATCTTATCTCCTGTAAATCATATTTGAATCTTTGATCTTACCTCTTGTAAATCACGTTTAAGGAAGACTAGATTTTTCTCCAGTTCTTGACAATCTTTCCTAAGGCGAGGTTCCTCCATATTAAGTCTCTCTAGATCAGACTGAGCCATCCTTAAACACAGAATCATAATCATTTTACTTTCGTGTAACATATAGACATAAGCCATTTTTTAGGCCTTTCAGTTAAGTTTTCAAGTAGGACTAATGGTAAAATACATTTGATAGATTTATAGGTAGATGAAATTTTCAATATAGAGTAAAATCTAAAAAGATGTTTAATTGAATCAATCAAATGATTGGAAAAGCATCTACTTTCTGTTTCCCTCTCTCTACTTTCTGTTCCCCTGTCTCTACTTTCTGTTTCCCTGTCTCTACTTTCTCTTCATCTATATCTACTTTCTGTTTCCCTGTCTCTACTTTCTCTTTATCTATATCTACTTTCTGTTTCCCTGTATCTCTTTTCTGTTTCCCTGTCTCTGCTTTCTGTTTCCTTGTCTATACTTTCTCTTTACCTGTATCTATTCTCTAATTCCTCTTTAGCTGCTTTCAGTGAGCGGATCTGTTCCTCCATTTGTTTGAACCTTTTGTCTCCATCTCCCCCTCCCTGTATAAATAACATAAACATCAGTAACCTAATATCAAAGTTCACTTGAATACTAATTTAAAAGTTACTAGTAGAAAAAAAGATAATTTTTACTACAGTAGTTAGCATGTCTTTACTTACATCCATAGATGAAACCTGAAAGAGTAACAAAAATAAAATTTTAGCAAAAAATGATGAGATATCAAAGTTTAAATAATCCAACCAAAACAGACTTCAGTAACCCAAATGTCTAACACTACACAAGCATTCCGTACTCCTGATACCCACTACATCCTCAATGCATTCAGCTAACAATTACCGGTAAATCTGAACATTTCAATCTAAGATCTACAGGTATATACTTCATCATTCCAGTCTACCATTACATCATCTCATACAGAGGTGGACAGAGTCACAGAGAGGTGTGACATGAAATGTGATTTATCAATATTACCCTCCTCAAAACAGATTTTAAAACAATGTGCAAATCATCAGCCAGTGCCAGGTGAATTATACATACTGTAAATGTATTTTTCTCACACATTTATAATTTTGTGGAATCACAACTTCTGAACAACCAAAAAGTGAAAAATGAAGTGGATTTTTTTTTTTGCCATTCAATGATCTCTAAGTGTGTTGTGACGTACTTCTTTGACCGTATATTTTGCTTAAATAAATCCAATGTGGGAGAAAGCATCTCTACAGCATGCTGCTGAAACAATCGTCAAAATGGAACAGTTTTCCAAATTGTTCTAATTCTCTTCATTCATACTTTGAGTTAGTTTATTCAATAAATTGTCAATTTTGACTTGGTACAAAATGTCTCATTTTATCTATTAAAACTGACTATACATGTACATACGCTTAGTTCATTTACATCTACATGTATATAAACACGATTTGAACATGCGGCTATTGCCTATCCAAAAGAGACAGAATTAACACTGGGTGATAATTTGCCAGAAACCCAAAAGAAAGGTGCTACTTGTGATCTAGTCTATATACAAGGCATTCACTTACTGGTTTAGTCTGGTGATTCTGTAAAGTAAATGTCCAATATTGTAACAGTCATGTTCTATACACATAATTACTACTACTAACATGTAAATAAATCAATACTTACACTTGGACCAGATTCAGATAGAAGCCTGAAAAATAGAAAATCAAACATGATCAGCTAGAATACGTACAAATGTACAAGTTTCCAGAGTGACTTAACTTAAATGCTGTTCAATGATTAAACATATACATGCTGGTTGAAATTAAATGCTGTTCATTGATGTTTAAGTATATACATGTACATACTGGTATTCTTTGTTGTAGGTGAAGCCAATGAATGGGAGATGGTTTCCAGCGAAAGCTTTAGGAACAGCAAAGGATTCATCTGGGGTGTCATCTTTTTCTATGTCTTCAAAGTTACTGGTATCTACATCACTAGAGAGCTCAGGGACAACTGGGGGTGCAGCTACAATAAAGGAAACAGAGCTTAGAAAGAGAGCAGAATGTATCTACATCACTAGAAAGCTCAGGGACAACGGGGGGTGCAGCTACAATAAAGGATTCAGAACTTAGAGAGAGCAAAATGTACACAGCAAAGCTAGAATACAGCTTGGAGATCAGCTCAAGAGACATCAAGCAACATGTGTAAAAGATATGATTCATCTGTGTGTTCAGGCATTATTACAGCCACTAGTGATTAAATGCCAATCAGGAGAAATTACAGTAACCTTTCCTTAATGTATTTCATGTCAAAATAAAGGATAAACAGCTAAGTTGTAATGTTACTACTTATCTTAATGTATCCCATGTCAACATAAAAGATAACACAACTAAGTTGTTATGTGTTATTATGGTATCAGTTGTAATGTTGCTACCTTGTCTTAATGTATCCCATGTCCAGTCTGTATTTCTGAAGAACTGATGTGTCTTTATTTCTTCTATTCCATTTCTTCCCAATCTCTCGGTTCTACAAAATTAATGAAATATTAATATTTATACTTGATGATATGTCAGTTGGAGAAGATGATTATTCTCCCATTTAATAATAAAGATCTTTATTAAAACAGATAAAACTGATGTTAAGTGATAAAACATCCCCTGTCCCTGACCTGTCAGTAAGAAAGGCACAAATCAGACTTTTGGCTTCTTTTGAAATCTCAATGTCTGTGGGGAAACTGAGGGAGTTTTTGTGATCCATGATTTTTCCATATGTTCCTACCAGGGAATCTGCATAGAATGGGGTGTCACCTAGGAAACAAAGCAACAGACTGATTTACATGTATATAACTCACTCTTACACATACATGCTCCTACACATGCATTAATACAGGATAAATGACTTAAAGGATAAAACTTCTAAAATATATTGTTCATCAATTACGTTTTAAATATTGTCTTGTCAATCCTTTCATACTCAGTGAGAAGGTAACAACAGGTAATTAGGTCAGTTCAGGTAACAACAGGTAATTAGGTCAGTTCAGGTGCTACCAGACACAGGTGATACTTACCCACCAACATCTCAAATAGGAACACCCCCACAGACCACCAGTCACACTCTCTCCCGTAAAAATTAGGTCGACCCTGGGACTGAAGAACCTCAGGGGATATGTAGTCAGGAGTCCCAACGGCTGTATCAGACCTCACCATTCCACTGTTCTATAAACAATCAATGAAAAATAAGTAGGCATGGAAAATTAATGTCAGCTCTGCATGCAAAATTAATGTCAGCTCTCAACAATCCATTTCTTTGATGACATTATCGACTTACTTTATCCATCCTCATACACGTCCCAAAATCTGCCAGCTTTAGATGACCCCCACTGTCCAGGAGCATATTATCTGGCTTCACGTCCCTAAAAACAAAGTTATTAATTAACATATCACTTAACTTTACATCCCTAGAAGCACAAAGCAAGTAACATCAGACATATATACAGTATAGGCTGAACATCAATTGTCAACTTCAAACCCAGGTGTGTATTACAAGGAAAGAAAAAAAATCTTGAACACTTTTAAAAACTACATGAATTTATTTTGAAAATATTTCAGGTTTCAGCGTGGTGTTTCATGTAAAGGTATTAAAATCCATTAATGCTGGTGCATGTAAATCCCCAATATCCATAGGTCATGTAGCTCAAATAAAGCCTATATACTTGGACTGTTTTACCTCTTACAGAATCCTTTATAGTTTGGCTAGATTACCTGTGAACAAAGCCCATGGAGTGAATTGCATCTAGAGCCAGGACCACTTCAGCACAGTAAAACTTGGCCCACTTCTCAGGCACATCATAATTACTCATTAGGTTAACGAGGTCACCACCTGGCATATAGTCCATCACCATGTACAGGTATTTGGAATCTTGAAAGGCAAAGTGAAGCTACAACACAAAGTCAGTAGAGTCAATGTAGCGGTTCAACATCAGATTTATACTGCTAGAGGAAATGGAAAACTAAAACACAATAATAAAGTAATAATACTATTTGATGGAGACTCAACATATTTCCCAAAAAAAGCAATGTAGCTTCAATATCAGTTCTATACAGTTATGCCAAAAAAAGGAAACAATTCAATCCTAATATTTACATCTAAATTTGCCTGTTCATTTGCCATCACCACTATTAAATGGAAATTGAGAGAGCAGTCATTACTGTTTTTATAAAAGCTTTGATTTTTTTTTTTTTTTTGAATTTTGTAATGATATTGTAATTTTCAATATTTGCAAAGTCAAAATAAAAACCATCACTTTTTTGCTTTCTGACCATCCTGTCCATGTTTTGGCATCACTTAACGACAAAAATATATATGAGATATAAATATTTACCTGTACGATCCATTGGCTATTAGCATTAGCCATTATCTCTCTTTCTTCCCAGTAAAATGCTGAGTCAGATCTTTTAATCTACAGAACACAATGATTACAGATTTCATTTATTAAAATAAACCAAAAAAGAACATGAAGAAAACAAAAGTTGGCCAATACCTATACTTGTTTTGTAACTCACCATTTCAGTTTTACTAAGGAGTTTCATTGCATACACCCGTCTAGTTGATTTGTGTCGAACCTAAATCAAAAACATATTACATCAGTTAACAAGGCTTTAAATGAATAAGAACATCAAGTAACCTTTAACATGTTCAAATCATGATGAGATATTCCTATAATCTTCAGTTTGGTACGACTATATCTTATGTGTATAAAAATGAAATGTTGAGAATAGAAATATTATAAGTTTTAAAACATTTTTTTTTTACCAGCTGAACTTCCCCAAAGGCTCCCCGCCCAATAACCTTGACCACTTCAAAATCGGCATGTTTCATACGACAACTGTTCACAAAGTCCACGGGTTTCCCATCTGAAATTATTGTAAAAATCAATCGTCATTGTCAAAAAAGATTTGAATTGGTGCAATTGAAATGTGTAACAATTGTATGGTTTAGAATATACACGCTAAAGCAAACTCTACATGTTACAAGTAATACTTCTCTACTTACACTTACAAGTGACAATTCTCTACTTACAATTTACAGATGACTGCTCTCTAATTACACGTTACATTTCACAAGGAACAGTTCACTATTAACTGATAAACATCTTACGAGTGACAGTTCTCTGTACTTACATTTTACGAGTGACAGTTCTCTGTACTTTCATTTTATGAATGACAGTTCTCTGTACTTACATTTTATGAATGACAGTTCTCTGTACTTACATTTTACCAGTGACAGTTCTCTGTACTTACATTTTACGAGTGACAGTTCTCTGTACATGTACTTACATTTTAGGAGTGACAGTTCTTTGTACTTACATTTTAGGAGTGATAGTTCTCTGTACTTACATTTTACGAGGAATTGGTCGACACTTTTGTTTCTTCGGATGGCAGGATGATCTAAGTCACAGACAAGGGCAGACAACCCATCCTGGAGTAAAAACAGAAATCAATCAATTTGTGAATTTTTAAACTAAAAGTACAGGGCATTCTGTATGATTTATTGATGATTCTCCAGTTAATATTTTGATACTGTGGATTTACTATGGATGTGTAATCTCATTCAATTCATATTTTAAATGCATAAAACATACTGAGATATTAACGAACAGTATTCAAGATCAAAAGTCCATAAAAAAAAACAAAATATGAGCAGAGCAAACATCGACCTCCGAAACATGTCATCAGAGGTAGGATCAGGTGCCACGGAGGAGTAAGCATCCCCTGCTGACCGGTCACACCTGCCGTGTGAATTTCTTCCATGTCTATCAGGTACATAGTGTCACATACTCTTTTTCTGACACAAATAATTGCACAACTCTTGTATTTTTCAGCCGCACAAATACACAAATTGTTTAATTGAAACTTACAATTTTCTAAAACTTAATATATATATATATATTTTTTTTTTTTACAAAGGATAAATGTGACATAAGTTTTGTTTACAAAAATAATTTAAAGTTTCCACCCCCTTCAGAAGGACTCAGACATGAATGACACTGTAAAGTCATGTCTCTTTATATATGTCTCACACAAAAAAATGATTGTTCCCAACCCAACCCCTCGAGGGAACCTTAAATATTCTACGCCTTACCAAGAGACTGTTGATGTTTAAATCCGAGCTGGGGTCCTTGAGTCTCTCTTCTATCTTCCCCAGTCGAATTCTGTACTCGGGGTCAAAGTTGGACATTTTAGCGTCCGTCTCAGACTAACAACTCAGATGAGACAGTTACATAATAAAAATACAAGTTCCTAGGCCTGTCCCCTCCTCCACTCAGCATGCTGGTCCGGAGGGTCACCATCCACACACTTCCGCATGCATTCCTTGGTGTTTACAAATATTAAATCATTTGCAAAATATTCTTTAACATGAATGACAGAGTTAACAAATAAGTAGGTATCAAAACGTTCCCTCTTTCGGCTAAATTTACTTTCGACAAACACCTGTCAAACTAGTTTTAGTGTGTAACCGCCATTAAAATTGCAACAATATGGCCTCCCGATTCGACTATTTCCGGTTTATTTAAATGTATGATGCTGACGACTGCGTTCGTTCTAACGCTACGTTCCCCTTTAACTGAATTAATTTTTGTAAAACGCATTTAAAAAATTTAAAGCACTGTATGTAAATATGAACTTGCATAAAAGAGCGCGAACGACAGGGGTGGACTTTAGGAATATTTAAATGATTTGCATTCTTGGCGGATCTAAAGTGGCGGGCATAATTCAAATGAGTTTTTAAACTAATTTTGTCTTGTCTTATCTTGTGCATGCAGCAAATTTGTCCTTACCGAATTCAACAAAAACAAAAATTTGAATTCACACACTAACCCACACTTACACACAGGAAACAGACCAACAAAAGAATTTAAAAATTTGGAGCCTCTTTTTTCGGGGGTGGGGGTGGGGGGTTGTCAAACGATTCTTCAGGATAGTCGTCAATTATTTTTCTGTCCTCTTTGTAAACATCTTTTTAGAGAATATACAACTCAACTCTCCCAAATTTGCCCATGTGAGCTAATCTTTGTTTGACTTCAACTGTGATCAAATTCCCCTCCCAATTAATTTAACACATTAGCTGCTCCCCCGACTCCACAAAAATATGAAATTCATTTTTTATACCTTTATTTTTGGAAATGAGTAAGATTTAACTTCTCCCTATCGATTTTATTATAGCGTCTGGGTTTGTTTTTGCATGGTATAATTGTTCGAAATGTAACCCACCCACCCCACCCCGAGATCGAGAGAGGGGGATGTACATGTACAATGGTATAAATAATAAACCTACATTTAAATGAACCTTCCTAGCTCTCATTTTAAAACAAAATTTTAAAGTATACATGTATATGTTTCAAGTTTAATATATATATATAATTTAATTCTGGCTGTAACGCTGTATTTGATTGGATAAAAAATTATTTTATATCGTATAAAATGGGTTGCCTACGTCACAATGACTTTCGTGAAAAACGTATCAATCCGCCTGACGTTACATTCAAATTTTGTAGAAATTGAAGTCGTTTTGTTAGAACAATCATATTTTTTTCTTACATCAAATGAATGAAAATTAAATTATAAGCAATGAATTTAATAGCTACCAATTTTATACGGTATAAAGTGGGTTGGAACAGTTTACGCCTTTTTATAAACCGCTTCGCGGTTTATAAAGCGTAAACTGCCCCCAACCCAGTTTATACCGTATAAAATGGGTAGCTATTAAATTCATTCCTTAAATAAATATATATATATATGTATATATATATATACATATGAACAAAGCTATATAATAGATCTATTTAGATATCTGAATTGATAAGGAAAAGTTTGACAGCTGCATGGGTATTAATTTTACACACTCCTGATGGAATTGTTTGTATTTATTACCAATTTCAATTTCAATTTCATCATAATATTCAGGAACCTTTACTATAGTACGATACAAAATACTTTAAGTTTAATGCTCTGTTCTGTAAATATAATACATATGAAAAGGTTTACGTGTGCATGTCATGCATCTAAGAATTAATCGAGACATTTTACACATTCTTTATAAAAAGTGTGCACCTATATAAGTACGAACGTGTCATTGGGTTTGTATGCTAGGGAAATATTTTTTCACACCGGGAAATATTTCTCATATATCACATATATTACACAATACACTCAGTTACTTCCTTTTATGGTGGATACACTTTAAAGCAATCAAATTATATTGTCGTTCTCTTCCAACAGGGATCCAAATGAATTTCAGGGCTATTCACTGTTCTTCCGTAGAACCTGCCTGCACTACAAAAGGAGAAATTTTAATCGGTGATAAACCGTTGAAATAGACATTTACGTACTGAACATGACTTACATAGAGTTTCCTCAAAATGTACTTTAGTTGATATACTCAATAATTCATGCCGTGGAAGGCAGTGTAAATATGATGAAAATGGCAAGTCCTCACTTTTACCGAGAAATTTTTTGAATATATATATAATTATTACATATGGATTTTTATGCCCCAGTTATCAAAGATTCGGGGGTAAATAGTGTTTGCCCTGTCCGTCCTTCTGCCTAGCTGTCTGTCTGAAAAAATAACCTTGTCAATAACTTTTAGTTGGGTGGGCTATGACTTTCAAATTTCACAGGTGTATTCCTTGTGACAAGATCTTTCTTAGGGTACCACCAAATTTGACTGCGTGACCTTGACCTTTGAGTTTGACCCACTTTTACCAAAAATTTTCCAAACTTAAACCTTGGCCATAACTTTTTGACCAGTTAAGCTTAAAACTAGCACAAGGGTTTTCATATTTTACATGTGTATTTATTATGACAAGGTCTGTCAATGGGTTTAAATAATATTTTTTTACCCTTTGACCTTTACTTAGGAGTTTGACTCACTTCAAAAAGGAAACTTTAACCTTGGTAATAATTTTTGAACAGTAAGCACTGGGGCTTTTATATTTCACTGCAGCTATGATTCCTCGTGATGAGACCTTCCTTGATAACAACAATATTGACGTTTTGACCTTGACGTTGATTTTCATTCGAGGAAAAAAAAACTTTCGACTCGCTGCAAGCTGCTGTGCGGGGGCATCGGTGTTTCTCAAATACATCTTTTTTTTATTGACGACCCTCTCTCTTTCCAATATGCTTTTGCAGAATTGTCGAACAGTACTCCCATTTTAATTAATATATCTAATTGTAAAGAAAGAAGGGCGGAAATAGTCCCGACCACCAAAACCACCCCTTTTCAAAAATTATTTTCAAGTCACTGTCTTGAGAGTTTTATGCCCCTGTAATAAAAAATGCGAGACTATATAGTTTTTGTCTTATCCGTCTGTCTGTCTGCCTGTTAATCGTGTTTGTCCTCAAAAACTTTAATCTTTCCCATTACTTTTGATTGGTTGAGACATACTATGGTTTTCATATTTCACAGGTGTATTCCTTATGACAAGACCTTTCTTTTGGTACCATCAAATTTTAACTTTTGACCTTGAATTCTGACCCAGATTTGCAAATTTTTAACTAACTCAAATTTAACCCTGGCCATAACTTTGAAAAGTAGGGTCTAGGACTTTCATTCCTCACATATATAAACCTTGTGACAAGATCTTCCATTGAATATACCAACAACTTTGACCTTGACCTAGGAGTTTGACCTCTTTTCAAAAAAAACTTTAACCTTGACCATCACTTTTGAAGAATTAGGGCCAGGGCTTTCATACTTCAGGCATGTTATCCTTGTGGTAAGACTATCTTTAGATACCAACAATTTTGACCCTTTGACCTTGAGCGTAGAGTTTGACCCACTTTCAAAAAACTTTAACCTTGGCTCTAACTTTTGAGCGTTTAGGGCGAGTTCTTTCATATTTCAAAAGTGTATTTCTTGTAATAGGACATTACTTTAGGTACCAACATATCTGATTCGATTTCAAAATAAGTTTTTTTTTTTCCTCACCATCTCAAATTATATTTGTATATTTTAAGAATTTATACCTTTCTATTGCTACAATGTATACAATGTATGTAGTAGACCATATGTATATATGTTTGTTTTACTTTGGCAATTTCACAAAATGTTATATTAGGAGAGGACTATCTGAGTTACAGAACTTGTGTCCGATCCTTTTGACTTTGTCAATAAAATATGTTCAATTCATTTGAATTTGAGAAAGTTTAACCTTCGCTTTAAGTTGCCATACGGAGGCATCAGTCAGTGTTTCGCAAACATATTTTGTTCATTTAGGTTTTACATGCCTTTCTTTTAGCTCACTAGGAATGAAAGTTGTGAACTCTACTGATCATATTTTGTCTGTCGTACGTTTGTTAACTTTTCGCAATTTTGATTTCTTCACCAGGATCACTTGGTCAATTTCGGCCAAATTTGTTACGAAGGATCCCTGGATGATTCTTCTTCTTTTTTTTTTATTTGTTTTGTTCAAATGAAGGACCACTCCCTCTTTTCAAGCGAATATAATTAATGAATAGTAAAAATGTAAAAAAAAAATTAAAATCTTTTCAAGAACTACTGGGCCAAAAGGTTGAAACTTATGCAGAACCCTCTTTGCATATGATATAGTTACATTCTTGAAATTTAAAGTTTGTTCAAATCACGAGCTCAAGAGTTGCATGGCTGGGGCCACAGTATTATTCATTATGTGGAAATATTAGTACATAGCTATGGGAAAATATTTCATAAATCTTCTCCCCAAGAACAGAAAAGCTCTGATTAGTCATATGCACATTGTTATGGAAGCATTCCCATACAATTTATATACATTGTACTTTGATGCCCCTTAATCGAAGATTGGTGGTTATATATAGCTTTAGTCCTCTCCGTCCGTCTGTCTGTTTGACCGAAAAAACAAAACAAAAAATTAACCTTGTCAATAACTTTGGACTGGATGGGGCAATGTCCTTCATATTTCACAGGTGTATTTCTTGTGACCAGACCTTTCTTTGGGTACCACCAAATTTGAGCTCTTGACTTTGGAGATTGGAGAACACCCGGTCGATGATGAAGAACAGCAGAGTCATCGAATATAATATATCGATTAATGCATAATGAATGAACAAACGAACAAATAAATAAATAAATAAGTAAATAAATTAATTTAAAATAAGTAAATAAATAAATAAATAAATAAATAAATAAATAAATAAATAAATAAATAAATAAATAAATAAATAAATAAATAAATAAATAATAAATAAATAAATAAAGAAAGAAAGAAAGAAAGAAAGAAAGAAAGAAAGAAATATAGAAAGAAATTTAAAATAAATAAATATAAATTAAGATTAATGTATTTAATATAAATAAATTTATTCAAACTAAATGAATTTACTTAAACTAAATAAATTAATTTAAAATAAATAAATATATTTTTTAAAAATATTTAAAATAAATAAATTTATTTAAAATAAATAAATGGGGGAAAAGATTCGAAGATGTATTAGGTCCTTTTTTTATTTCTTTTTTTTTATTGCCGCTTTGAACGTTTCAGCATTCAGGCTGCATACAGGACGCGCGCGTAAGATCCGCCGGTGTTGATGAAGAGTGAGGAAGTGAGTAACTCGGTAGACGGCAAACATGTCGGCTGCGCCGAATCAACAAAGAGCTTTTGCTCAGAAGCTGAATAAGTAAGTGTACATTAAGAGAAAACTAATGATTATGAAATAGTGTTTCTTGCTTTCTTCAAAATGAACAAAAAGATTAGCAAATAACTAGAATTTCCTCTGCTTCTCGGATTGCTTGCCTTTGGTTTCATATTTCATCCAAGAATTTTTACCTTCAGTAAATGATGGATTCAGCTGGGAAAATGAATGATATAAACAGATCACTGGAATTAAAGTTTAGAAAGATAGAATAATGTAAAGTAACTACCAGGGACCTATATACTTAGTATATAGGTCCCTGTAACTACGGAGAGTTTTTGACAGTTTGTAGAAAGTGGTTTTATGTTTACAAACACAACACATCTTCATTTATCTATAAGCTATGTTAATCTTTGTAGACAGGGAGCTGCCGAGGTCAGGAAGGCGGTTTCCTCTACAATCTACTCGACCTCTGACCTCACAAGATGTGCCAGTGGTCTCAATCTCACTGTAAGTCTACTCCTCATGTGTAAAATCAGTGGAACTCATATTAACAGGATTAACAAAATGATAAAGTTGATTTGCTTTTTCTTATTATTTAATAGGTAAACTTTTATATAACTTTATATTTTTCTTTGTGTTATTTTTGGTTCTAGTGAATAATTCATGCTACAATAATACAGTATAACACAAAAATAATCATAGACGTTGACTTTCTTTTAGGGTGGCCCTTTGCAGACGTGGTAGCTCCCCAGACTGTAGGGATTTTGTCAATTAATTCGACACTGTTCTAAATTAACATCAATAATTAATGAGAATCTGTTTCCCCTTTAGGTGCCCCTCACAGACGTAGTTGACCCCCCAGACTATGAGGAGTTTGTTCTCCAGAATTCCTGTACTGTTGAGCGCGATCCCTTCAGGGATCTTATCTTGTACCCAGAGGATGATGTTGATGTTCACAGCGTTCCTAGGAAATGTCGGACTGTCAATCCCATCGTACCAGAACTCGGGTAATGAACTAATAAACAAAGACCAGCCAATTGATAAATAAACAAGTGTGTAGTTTACAAAGTCAATACCATCATACCAGAACTCGGGTAATGACCTATTGAATATAGACCATCCAATTTATAAACAGTCAAGTTTGTAGTGTATGTTATGTTGTATTTCTATTTTAATTCTTTAGTCCAGACGCTGATGAGTTTGTGTTTGACCTGGCCCGGCGGTACACTGCGGACTACACTGTTATCACACGCCGCTATCACCGCTACAGCTCCAGTGTGTGTAGTAAGGAGAAACTGACGGGACAGGAAGCCACTGTCCCGCAGGAGTACGAAGTCGACATGGAGGAAGGACAAGAGGACGGGTCAGAGGTTTGTATCAACAATACAGAGGGGGTCAATAGGGGGTGCTCAATAGGTCAGAGGTTTGTATCAACAATACAGAGGGGGTCAATAGGGGGTGCTCAATAGGTCAGAGGTTTGTATCAACAATAGTCAGTAGAGAGGGTCAATAGGGGGTGCTCAATAGGTCAGAGGTGTGTACAATGTATCAGCAGTGATGAGGGGTGTGTACAATGTATCAGCAGTGATGAGGGGTGTGTACAGTGTATCAGCAGTGATGAGGGGTGTGTACAATGTATCAGCAGTGATGAGGGGTGTGTACAGTGTATCAGCAGTGATGAGGGGTGTGTACAGTGTATCAGCAGTGATGAGGGGTGTGTACAGTGTATCAGCAGTGATGAGGGGTGTGTACAGTGTATCAGCAGTGATGAGGGGTGTGTACAGTGTATCAGCAGTGATGAAGGGTGTGTACAGTGTATCAGCAGTGATGAGGGGTGTAAGTAAGGGGTGCACAATAGGTCAGGTCTGTATCAACAACAGTGATGAGAGGGGGTAACTAGGGGTGTACAATAGGTCAATTTGTATCAATAATACAGAGAAGTATTATGTCACAAATATTGAGTCAAGTAGACCTCATGAAAATCTCATAATTTTATATCGACAGACATATCTTTAAGGTTACCTTTGTCATCTGTAGGTGGTGGTTGGATAATGCATACACATAAAACCGTTACCAAGTGAGTGGATATTAAACTTCTGTACATACGCTCTGTAATTTTTTTTTCTCAATTTTAAGGATGGTGTGAGTAAGCGGCAGTCTATCCACATGAATTCTGTCCCCCGGGGCAGCTGGGCCAGCAGTATCTTTGACCTGAAATCCTCCCAGGGAGACCAGCTGCTCCCCCACCTGTTTGACCAGGTGTCATACGAACAGATCGACGCAGACAACAAGAAATGTCGACAGGAGAATCGGGAGGACACACTGTTCAGCCTGTTCCCAGGAGAAGATGAGGTACATCAAAAGCTCCCAAGTCAATAAGTCTGTAGTGAATTCAATAGTGCTTATCCTTGTAATTGAAGGGAAGTTTTTCCTTTCAGAGTTTTTAGGAACAAATGTTATAGCTTGGGACAGTATGAATATCTGTAAGATGATTATAAATATAAAGAAGCAAAGGCACTTTTGCCCCTTTCCCTGTATATTTCAGTTCTAAACTCTTGAATATGGCAGTGTTAATGAATTGGTACCTTTAGTGCCACTAGTCCATTTCTGACAGAAGTGGACTTTACCATGTCTTTACTTGTAAATTTACCTGTAAATCTTTGTGTCATTAGACTATTACTATCAGACTTTGACTATATCATGTCTTTATTTGTAAATCTTTGTACCGTTACGTAGGAGGACCTGATAGAGAGAAGACCACCCCCACCCTTCCCCCAGGAACACTTTGGTCACAGAATCATTGTTAAGTGTCTGCAACTCAAGTAAGATATTGCAAAACTCATTCAGAACAAAATTACCCGGGTATTTAAAATGTGCCTTGTTTTGGTTTATTCTTAAATATTTTTTTCTTCTTTTGCATTAGAATGGAATTGGAATTTGAACCATTGTTTGCTACAATGGCTTTATATGACGCCAGAGAAAAGAAAAAGGTATGTTAAGACTTCACAGATGTAACTGTATCTTATTATATATATGTATGTATCTGATGACCACAAATGTAACTCTGTCATGTTTTGTGTGTACAGTAAAACTCGGTTATAGCGAAGTCATGGGGACCTGTGAATTTAATTCGCTATATCCGTAATTCGTTATATCCGTATAACGAATTTGTATAACCATTATAGCGAATTCGCAATATGCATGTTTTCCTTAAAGTATCATTACGAATTGTGTTAGGGAATCAAATATTATAAAACATACCTTCGATAACTAAGATTTTATTACAAATTGAAATTTTTATAGAGATGCTAAAAGGAAATAAAGTCAGTTCAATTGATCAAATTTTTTGAGATCTTTGAAAGTTCGTTATAAAAGATGTAAATTTCATTTTATTTAACCTCAAGGGGACTCAAAATCAGTTCGCTATATCTGTAAATTCGTTATATCAGAGTTCATTATAACAGTAAAATTTTACAACGATTTGTTAAGAATTCTGCCGGGGACCCAGAAAAACTTTGTTATATCCGTGAATTCGCTATATCCATGTTCGTACTAAACGAGTTTAACTGTATTATCATGTGTGATGTGCAAAGTACTGTGCAAGTAGATAATTTAAGCAAGATTTTCCTATAGTAAAATAAGTTGGCTACAGATGTAAGGGTAGTAAGATATGTTTCTAGAAACATTAACACTTGCCATGTGACGTCAGATATCTGAGAACTTTTATTTTAATTAACTTTTGTCTTGTGACTTCAGATATCTGAGAACTTTTACTTTGACGTGAATCAAGATGAGCAGAAGAAGATGATCATGATGCACATCCACCAGGCTGACGTGTCGACCATGAGTCGAGCCGCGTGTTTCAGTATCACCTACCCCTCTCCTGACGTCTTCCTCGTCATCAGGGTAATATAACCATATAAAACACAGTAATGATGAGCAGACTGAATATATCATTATCTTAGCAATGAACGTGTTACACATCAGAGTTTTTAACTTTTGCTCTTGTAAATTAAGCTATTTTAAGAAATACTAGGGGGTGTAATCTTTTTGTTTATAACATGTACATGTACATATGCTATGTTTGATTATTCCCACAGCTGGAAAAAGTGTTACAACAGGGAGATATAAGTGAATGTGCAGAGCCTTACATGAAAGAAGACAAGGTAACCAGCTTTGATATGATATTGGAAATTTCTGTATAAATCATGAAGCCAGCTATTTACTTGATATTCACCAACTCTAGCCAACAGCATATTTATATAAACAAAATGTGCCTTAAGGATTAATCTATTTATCCAATTTTCTTAGGCTAAAGAGGACCGTTTGAGGTCCAATGCTGCCCAGTTTTGTGATCGGCTTGGAAAGTACAGAATGCCCTTTGCTTGGACTGCTATCTATTTAATGAACATTGTTACTGGGGCAACAGGAGGCCAGGATTCAGAGAAAACTTGTGAACAAGAACCCTCAAGATCTGCCAGTCTGGGTGAGAACAGTGTGTCTGTAGATATTAATGAAAATCTGTTAATCAAAGTTTATCAAGAACTTAATTTCTGTGTTCTATCTTAATGGGAATTTTTTGAAGTGTAAGAACAAACCCTTGTGGAAATACTGTATATTCAAACTGGAGAACGGGATCTTTTTTGTTCTATTTATAGACAGGAGATCTGTGTCAGGAGTGCCGGGTCAGTTTGACAGTTTCCGCAGAAGAAATAAGGAAGAGTTTTCGTCCACCAGACGGGGGTCGATGGAGCGGGGTCGTAGTGAACGCAGGGGACTGTACTCTGGAGAGGACTATGGCCCGAGTCTGGACAACTTTAGACCGGTCACTCTGACTGTGTCCAGCTTCTTCAAGCAGGTAACATAAAAATATTTTTAGATAGATTGAACTAAAAAAAAAAAATTCTAGGATGACTTTAAAAAATTAGATAACTTTCTCAGAGCTACAGATTGTAAATATGAATTTGTATAAATTAACATGTACATTGGGGCCTGAAATTATCATGTTCATTGTGTGATTTTATTAGATATTTGTCTGGGACAGTATCAATTTTTGGGCCTCAGAGTCTCTGATGAATTTTATTTTCAGGAAGGAGACAAACTGAGTGATGAAGACCTGTATAAATTTCTGGCTGATTTAAAACGACCTTCAAGTGTCCTCAAAAGAGTCAAGTGCATCCCTGGTAAATATCATTTCACAGTTTCCGGTTCGTAGACTTCATTATAAGAGAACAATATTTCTTTTGGAGAACTACTTATAATGCTTAATATATTGATTTTATTACATGTATGTACTCAGTTTATGTTATGTCATTTTCTCACTTTCTAACTTTACCAGGTACATTGAAGCTTGATATATCTCCCTGCCCAGAAGAGCCCCGCTACATGTTGACCCCAGAACTCTACAAAGTAGAGCCTTACCCAGACGACAAAACTCGACCCACGAGAGAGATACTTGAGTTTCCTTCTCGTGAAATTTACAACCCCAACACAACATACAGGTCTAGTTAAACTAGCTAGCATTGCCTTGTATCAAAATATTTCATTCACTCAAGTCAATCAAGTAGTAGCTGTTCCATATGTGTCAAAGTGGCCATAGCTTAGAAACTTGTAACACTCAAGTGAACTTCATGGCTTCTTAGAGATGTCATGAGTTACAGATTTTAATGGCATGCATGTACAATATTGTAGAATTAGATAGATTTTTAGAATATTGAAATATTTCACTCTCGGATGGGAAATAACAGTGTTTGGGACGTAAATCCTTTTGTAATTACTTTTACACCCACTTCATTGTTGTAGGAATCTGTTGTACCTCTATCCAAGAAGTCTAAACTTTAGTAACAGACAGGGATCTGCCAGAAACCTGGCGGTCAAAGTCCAGTTCATGTCAGGCGAGGAGGAGGGGTGTGCTCTCAAGGTAATTTATACAGCAAAGACTGAAGGAAGGTCTAAACATTGCACACTCTCAAGGTAATCTATATAACAAAGCCTTAAGGAGCCCCTAACACTGCACACTGAAGAGCTCCAATTGAAGGGTAGTTTTATGCATTTAGAGTGATTTGCCCTTGAAGTAAGATTGAATAAGTGGTAATCTACAGTAAATGAGGTAATAGTATTGTCATTTTCTTAGACCAAGATAATGTCTGTGAACTTATATCTGTGAACTGTATTTTTTTAATATTAATGTCAGTGAATAATTTTTGTTTTTTAAGGCCATATTTGGGAAATCAAACTGTCCAGAATTGTCCAAAGAGGCATACACTTCAGTGACCTACCACAATAAATCACCAGACTTCTACGAGGAGATAAAGATCAAACTCCCGGCTAAACTGACCGACGCCCACCACCTTCTGTTTACCTTCTACCACATCAGCTGTCAGACCAAGAAAAACGAGTCAGGACCCGTCGAAGTTCCTGTGGGATACACGGTAAAATAATCAAGATGAGGCATAGGTTGATTATTTTGTTGTGATTTCAGTGTATTGTTTTAAGATTAGGTTGATTTTAGGCTTGCAAACTGTACTACATACCTACTATACTACATGTATTTCAAATGAATAATACTTAATCAGCATTATAAAAGGTATTACAATAATAAATCTTAAAATGAACACTTTATAGTTACAACATCATCAAAGTATTATTTTATGCAATAAATCCTGAAATTGATTAACATGCATATACATGTACATAAAAGTGACAGAAACATTTTTTATGATAATTCATTTAAGAAGCTAGTTCCTAATGTGACCCCAGCTGAGACCAGTCTGATTTGTTTGTTTCAGTGGCTCCCTCTGTGTCGGGAAGGGAAGCTAATGATTGATGACTTCTCCATCCCTGTATCCGTGGACAAACTGCCACCCAGCTACTCCATTCTGTTCCCTGATGTAAGTTTTAAAGTACTTAGTACTGTTTAACGGGGTGCTGATTTAGATTGAAATTATTTACAGTAGTGAGGGAATCCTCTTGAATTTATAATACTACATGTAGTAGGGGGTCCTGTTGGAGGTACTGTATACAGGGTTATTTTCGCCCAGTGTTATTTTCGCCCTTTTACATTTGCTAACAATTTTGGCCCGTTTTAAATTCGCCTAGTCACAGTTCTGTTTAAGAATTTATGATGTGTTCCTTGAATTCGCCCTTTTTTAATTTTGCCCACTTGTGACAAAGGCAAAAGGGGCAAAAATAAATCGGGGAAGAAAATTTCCCTGTATACAGTATTTATAGTAATTAGGCGATGCTGTTGGAGGTATAAATAGTGATAAGGGGATCACCCTGGCTTGTATTTATAGTTACAGTAGTGAGAGCATGAGTGTAAGAGATGCATTTGAACACATTGTCTCGGGTTTTCATATCTCAAACACATAGGATAATTGGAAGAGAAGTGGGGTTCCAACAAACCCTTGATGTTTAAAATTTTTGCCAATTGGTGTGTTGACTTGCAGTGAATATTTACCAAAGAATGTGAATTCTGTACATTCCATATATTAAGATTCTATATTTACCAGCTAAGGGTTACGCCCGCCTCCCAACAGAAGCCGATCTCAATACAGGTCAGGAAGACCAGTTACAGTTAAATTACTTGTAATCTTTGTTCATTTTGTACTGTTAATTCCTTGTTTTTTATCTATAGTGATACTTTACGAGTTAACATGTCTGTATGTTGATTTATACTGTTATTAGGAATATCTATATGATCGACCTGTAAGTAATTATCAGGCTATATTAACACAAATTATCGGAGACAGATAGACCACACAATGGATTTATAACCAGGATTTATACACAGCTACAGTAAAGAAAACATATTATTTTATATCCTTTTTTAAGCACAGGTACATTGTAGATATTCATGTATCATTATGTATTATTATTATATGGATTTGATATTGAAAACCCCTGATACAAAATCTAAAGTGATACATGCTTTAACTGAGTCGGTTAAAAATATGGTTGGAAATTTACTGCTTTATATATATTTTATTTACCAATTTCAGTTTTCAGAATACTGTTAAGTAAACAGTTGAAAATGAAAGCCTTATAAAGATGTTAAATTATAATTATTTATTTTCCTGTAAGGAAAGTAGTGCTTCTATTAAATTTAATGCATCATGTGACACCATCATTAATTTTAGATTGATAAACAGAGATGGTATCAAGAAAACGAGGTAGGGCGTTTGGGAACCAGCTAACTTTTGACAAGGATGGCAAATGTCCTACAATTACTGATAATTATCTTTTAATGTAACCAGTATTAACCATCTACTTTGTAATGAAAGAAATTAACCTATTTTAATGATCCCATTCAAATTAAAAATATATCGTTGTCTATGATTTCCAGCGGACCTGCGTGTCTATATACAGTTTACGCACTTGAAGTCTCCTTCATGAAAACACTGAATTCTTAATTGCAGATCTTACTTAATCATGTAAATTGTTTTGTATTATTAACGACAACTTTTTAGTAAAACTTGGTGTAAAGTAATAATTTTTCATTACACAATTAATTAATCATTTTGTTTCATACAAAATTTGACATTTACATAGTGAGTATTTCTTTAATCAAAGGCTATAAAACACAAATATTTGAATAATTTACGTAAAATCTGTTTGTTTTTGCCAGAGGGGGGTTGTCGAAACACTAAGTTTCTCAGCAGTGGTTATTTTCTTAATTCTTTTCTTTTGGGGTCGAAAAATTAGTGGCATCCAGCCCTATTCATCTAGTTTTTACTGGAAAAGAATTTCATTCAAACTACAGGATTCATCACAGATATTTGGGTGAAGCATACATTAAATTTTGTTATTTATTGATAGCATTTAACATCACAAGTCTATAGAAAAAAACTTCAGGAAAAAAAAAACAAAACCAAGGAAACAGCTTGTCTGTATTGCAGCATTATAAAACTGCACTAAGTATGTATCAGAGACCACAGGGGATGTGTATGACTACAACTTGTGTTAGGTTTTTACAAACAGTAAAATAGCTTAGTAATATTTCCTAGTGGTATAAAACATGATTGTTAATAAAGCTTATGATTTCCTTGTAGTTTGAATACTACAATGTATTTAAAAAGTTGTTAATTGTCAAAATTATATGGATTGTTGCCAAATCTTATCAATAGGAAAAGGTGAATCATAGCATAATGGGGAACAAGATACTTAATGATTAAATAGTACTGAATTCTATTGACCCCCTTTATGCTGTATATCAATCATAAAGATTCTTTTTTAAATTACAGTAACAATTGTACCAATTCATGTATTGAAACCATATGAATATTCAGAGAAACTTATTAACATTTAATAAAAATAAGTAGCTTTTTGGACATATGCAATTATTTTTTGCTTCATATTTGTATTCTTATAAAGTGCTTTGGTGCATTTCATCAGCTCAAAAATAAGACAGCGTATTCATATTTTGATTAAAGAATTAAGTGTTGGTTTCAATTAAGTTTATAAAAGCATGTGTTTATCTGAATGGCTGAGTATTATGGCTTGATTTTCTTGGAGAAAAAGTTCACCACCCCTATCATGCTCTGTATTTACAGTAATTTACATTTCCTTTATAGACAACCTTGCCTAATATGAAATGGGTGGATCACAAAGGGGTGTTTAACGTTAGTCTGAGATCAGTATCATCTGTACACACACAGGTAAGAGGCATAGACCAAAAGATGTTTATATATCTGTATCTGTAAAAGTGTTAGCATGCTAAGTAAGGGATAACTCCTTTTATCTGATCTCTTGTGTTATTTAGTAGCTCATAATTTGTATGGTGTATATTAACATTTGGAATACATTACCACTAGGATGACAAGTTAGAAAAGTTCCTGTATAATTGTCGTATGACCCTGGAACAGAAACTGCCTCCCAGGAAAACAGAGTCCTCATTTGAGAATGATCTGAGACAGAGCATACAGGAGGTCCCCAAGGCCCGGGGGGAGAATCTGATCCAGTTCCTACCCCTGATACTGGACAGACTGCTGTACCTGATGGTCAGACCCCCTATACTGGGCGGACAGCAAGGTATGAATTACCAGGTAACACTGTATAGAATCTGATTTATAAGAATCCTCACCACCTATACTAGGGGGCAGCAAGGTATGAATTACTAAGTAACACTGTATAGAATCTGATTTATAAGAATACTCACCACCTATTCTAGGGGGCAGCAAGGTATGAATTACCAGGTAACACTGTATAGAATCTGATTTATAAGAATCCTCACCACCTATACTAGGGGGCAGCAAGGTATGAATTACTAAATAACACGGTATAGAATATTTACAACCTGTACTAGGGGACAGCAAGGTACCATAAATGTTGTAGTCAGTGGGCCCTAGTGATAGACCAATTACATGTATCAGCATATTGTGAAGAAATAACATGCTTTAGTATTGGTATGGTATATTGAATGAAAATAATATATTGAGTGTCTTTGTAGCTAGCATTGGACAGCCAGCTTTTGAGGGGGTTATTTTGGTCGTGAAGAGAGTTCATGAGTTACTTTCTGAGAAGAATGACCGCAATGGCCGCAACCTGACCCTAGCTAGCTACATCCACTACTCCTGTAGTCTGCCCCACCCCGGACCACTTCATCACTGTTGTAAGTATTTAAACAGGACCACTACATCACTGTTGTAAGTATTTAAACGGGACCACAACATCACTGTTGTAAGTATCTAAACTGGACCACTACATCACTGTTGTAAGTATCTAAACTGGACCACTACATCACTGTTGTAAGTATCTAAACTGGACCACTACATCACTGTTGTAAGTTTTTAAACTGAACCACTACATCACTGTTGTAAGTTTTTAAACTGGACCACTACATCACTGTTGTAAGTTTTTAAACTGGACCACTACATCACTGTTGTAAGTTTTTAAACTGGACCACTACATCACTGTTGTAAGTATCTAAACTGGACCACTACATCACTGTTGTAAGTTTTTAAACTGGACCACTACATCACTGTTGTAAGTATCTAAACTGGACCACTACATCACTGTTGTAAGTTTCTTTAACACGACATATAAACTGCAAGTTTCTAAAATAATATCTCACTGATATTGTCATAATCCATGTATATTATTACTATTAATTTTGGAGACAAAATTAAGATATTCAGTATGAAATCCATACAAAATTTGTACATATACATGTACATTTATGTTAAATGTTGACAAAGTTATAAACATTGTCTTTGAATTTTTCAACTGTTTGACAACCTTTGCACATGTTTATATCCAGCTCACTATGTCACTGCAGTATGTCTCCAAATACTACATCATAACAGATAGCCTACAAAACACAATATCATTAATGTACAATAACATTGTCTAAAACAGTATGTCATTGCTTTGCTTGTGTAAAGTAAAACATTTCTCATGATTATTTTAATCTTTACAGCTACAGAGCCATCCTTGGGATCTGGATACAACACACTGGGTCGTCCGTCTTCACTTCCTGTCTCAAACAAATCCTTCCAGAGGAGCACTAGTAACCCTGATCTAAACGCACTCACCCCCACCTCACCAGACAACGAGATATCGGCCATCCTAGGTATGTAGCTACCCTGATCTAAACAATCTCACCCCCACCTCACCAGACAACGAGATATCAGCCATCCTAGGTATGTAGCTATAGCACTAGTAACCCTGATCTAAACGCTCTCACCCCTACCTCACCTGACAATGAGATATCAGCCATTCTAGGTAAGTAACTAATCACCCCCACCTCACCAGACAACGAGATATCAGCCATCCTGGGTATGTAACTAATCACCCCCACCTCACCAGACAACGAGATATCAGCCATTCTGGGTAAGTAACTAATCACCCCCACCTCACCAGACAACGAGATATCAGCCATTCTGGGTAAGTAACTAATCACCCCCACCTCACCAGACAACGAGATATCAGCCATTCTAGGTAAGTAACTATTCACCCCCACCTCACCAGACAACGAGATATCAGCCATTCTAGGTATGTAACTAATCACCCCCACCTCACCAGACAACGAGATATCAGCCATTCTGGGTAAGTAACTAATCACCCCACCTCACCAGACAACGAGATATCAGCCATTCTGGGTATGTAACTAATCACCCCCACCTCACCAGACAACGAGATATCAGCCGTTCTGGGTATGTAACTAATCACCCCCACCTCACCAGACAACGAGATATCAGCCATCCTAGGTATGTAACTAATCACCCCCACCTCACCAGACAACGAGATATCAGCCATTCTAGGTAAGTAACTAATCACCCCCACCTCACCAGACAACGAGATATCAGCCATTCTGGGTATGTAACTAATCACCCCCACCTCACCAGACAACGAGATATCAGCCATTCTAGGTATGTAACTAATCACCCCCACCTCACCAGACAACGAGATATCAGCCATCCTGGGTATGTAACTAATCACCCCCACCTCACCAGACAACGAGATATCAGCCATTCTAGGTATGTAACTAATCACCCCCACCTCACCAGACAACGAGATATCAGCCATTCTAGGTATGTAACTAATCACCCCCACCTCACCAGACAACGAGATATCAGCCATTCTGGGTAAGTAACTAATCACCCCCACCTCACCAGACAACGAGATATCAGCCATTCTGGGTATGTAGCTATAGCACTAGTAACCCTGATCTAAACGCTCTCACCCCCACCTCACCAGACAACGAGATATCAGCCATTCTAGGTAAGTAACTAATCACCCCCACCTCACCAGACAACGAGATATCAGCCATTCTGGGTATGTAGCTATAGCACTAGTAACCCTGATCTAAACGCTCTCACCCCCACCTCACCAGACAACGAGATATCAGCCATTCTGGGTATGTAGCTATAGCACTAGTAACCCTGATCTAAATGCTCTCACCCCCACCTCACCAGACAACGAGATATCAGCCATTCTGGGTATGTAGCTATAGCACTAGTAACCCTGATCTAAACGCACTCACCCCCACCTCACCAGACAACGAGATATCAGCCATTCTGGGTATGTAGCTATAGCACTAGTAACCCTGATCTAAAGGAACTCACCCCCACCTCACCAGACAACGAGATATCAGCCATTCTGGGTATGTAGCTATAGCACTAGTAACCCTGATCTAAACAATCTCACCCCCACCTCACCAGACAACGAGATATCAGCCATCCTAGGTATGTAGCTATAGCACTAGTAACCCTGATCTAAACGCTCTCACCCCTACCTCACCTGACAATGAGATATCAGCCATTCTAGGTAAGTAACTAATCACCCCCACCTCACCAGACAACGAGATATCAGCCATCCTGGGTATGTAACTAATCACCCCCACCTCACCAGACAACGAGATATCAGCCATTCTGGGTAAGTAACTAATCACCCCACCTCACCAGACAACGAGATATCAGCCATTCTGGGTAAGTAACTTATCACCCCCACCTCACCAGACAACGAGATATCAGCCATTCTGGGTACACGACAAGATGTCAGATATCAGGGTTCTCCATGGTTCATTTTATGTGTTGCTCCCGACACAGTAAAATTTTCTCCGACACAGTAACGATTAAAATTTCCTGCATGCAACACAGTAAAAAATTTGCTGACACAGTAAAAGTTGTAATTATTAGAAAATCTAAACACACAGATTCTCTCTAACTGAAACTTTAATCAAACAATTCTATCATCTCTTAATAAAAAAATTCATAACACTTAATTACTAGGGCTTCACGTTGAGTAATCAATCAATCAATTATCTCCTACACCCTCGCCGGACTTTACACATGACGGAACAAAGACAAACACATTGTTTTCACAATTCAATGTACCCATACTACCGGTTAATTGGTAGTTGCAATAAAATGCATTGTATTATTTTTTAAAAATATTTGAATATGTCTTTTCAATAGAGCCACAGCTCTAGATTTTATTCAATTATGTAAGCATGGTAAGTCAAATATAACATCGTACCGAAGTCATTTAAATGATTAAATAAATTGCCAAAAAATTTTGAAAATTAAGCATGTTCAAGGAACTCTTTGAAACATTTTACTGTTCTTAAGGTAGAACCTATGTCGGAGAAGTCTTTGTCACAAGATTTTCAAACTTTTCAAAATGATAAATAAGTACTTGCTTATCAATTAGTTAAAAGGTCATAGTATGTTTCCTTGTTTTTGAATATAGTAGAGCCTGTGAAACTTGGTATGGTAAATACATACTGCGACTACACATTTTCAGTTATTTTTAGGGGTACTTGTCAACAAGAGAATATGAAAAATCACAAAAATACCTCTTCAAACATCGTTGTTTATAGACTCTATTAACTGAACAATATTAAGCAATATTTCTCAAGAAGAATTTCCTTTTTATTCAATTGACATAAAAAAATAACTCCACATTTAAAAAAAAATAGGCAAATGGACTCTTTTTTTTAGTCAATTCTCCACCGTACATTTGTAAATATTTTTCAAAAGTCTTTGTCACAAGGTTTTCAATCTTTTATATGATGAAGAACTTACCCAAGCAATTACAAAAAGTCATTAAAATGTATACCTTTCCCCTCTAACTAATGAGAGATAGGCTATTTACCGATACTAATATTCTTGACCTTTTTGCACTTACACGGGATTTAATTATTAAGACTGTTTGGGGTTATTTTTAGATTAAACATGTTTATCAAAAATTGTACTTTTAATTTAAAAAGATCATATTAAATAGAAAATTGTAATCAAACACTAAGAATATGAATAATGAACAAATAATTATGAAAAGGAATACACATCATTTCATGATAGATATCACAAAAATGTACACATGATTACAAGATCTACAACACGTACATCTTTGACTTAGACACATTTCATCAAGATATTACACTATTTAGTTGGCAACTGAAGATTTCTTAGGATTTTTGCATTCCTACAAAATGGTATATATACCATTCACATTATTACAGTAATTTGTATATATTGTAATTTCATTACACAAGATAATATTGGATTTGTCAACTTAATTAAGGCCAAGATCTAGTAAATGAAAGGTGCCTACAGGTTTCTCCTATTCCAGAAATATATTGTCATTAAGCAAATAAGCCCAAAAATGTATAAACTGAATTAAGATTATATTGGCATGATTTAAAAATTGAATTCTGTGAATTTCACAATGTAGTATTTTCTACCATTTCTATAGAAGCTGTAAAGTACGGGAAAAGTGACATTGAATTAATTATGACGTCATAATGGATTTAGCATAGGCTAACACATTCACTAGTGATGATGTCATACGACATAGGTTCTACGTTAAGTTCCATTTTTGTAATGTGGTAACTCATCCAAAAAACCTGATAAATAAACACCGCAAATCTACTTTTAAAAAATGTTAAGTAGTTCGACGATCGGTCAAAATTTCCTAAGATTTTTCCCTTTTATCAGTTTGTAAGACCGTACCATTTGTTTAACGAATTAGCGATTTTAAATAAATGTGTGCTTGTAATCTTTTGTAATCATAATGAATAGTGATTCAGTTGCGAATTTGTTCGCGAAAATACTGCAAAATATTAGTGCTTTGCGTAAACTTTGCAACACAGTTAAATCTCAAATGATGGAGAACCCTGGATATCATATGTAATTAGACTGCAGGGTTGAAGAAGTTACATAAAAACGAGAGTATTCTTAATAATATATAATTATATTCCACCACAGTAGGAATCATTATAGCAAAAGAATAATTCTTTTTGGTTGACTTTTAAGGAGGCACCAAGTTCTTAGACAGGACAGGAAGCATGAGAGCAGATGAATTTAACCAACCACAGATGATGAAAAACAGGGCCAAGAAGGTCTGACAAATTTCATTAATTTTAAAAAAAACTTCCTTCATTTTGTTGAGTACACAATGTGATAAATAATTTTGAAAAAATGGTAATGTGTTAAAATTTTAAAGTATGTTCAGTGGAATTTACATGACATAAAATGAAGATAATTTTAATATGGATGAAACTTTCTTGTACTTAAAGAATGTCATATGTTTGTCATGTGACTTGTGGAATGTCACATGTATGTCATGTGACCTGTGGAATGTGACATGTATGTCATATGACCTTTGTTATTTACAGCTTGTCCATGAGGAGCTTGTTCTACAGTGGTTGGTTCTCAGTGGACAGAACAGAGACCATGCATTCGCCCACTCCTGGTTCTTGTTTGAACTCATTGTAAGTTCTTGTCTGAACTCATTGTAAGTTCTTGTCTGAACTCATTGTAAGTTCTTGTCTGAACTCATTGTAAGTTCTTGTCTGAACTCATTGTAAGTTCTTGTCTGAACTCATTGTAAGTCTTGTCTGAACTCATTGTAAGTCTTGTCTGAACTCATTGTAAGTTCTTGTCTGAACTCATTGTAAGTTCTTGTCTGAACTCATTGTAAGTCTTGTTTGAACTCATTGCAAGTCTTGTTTGAACTCATTGCAAGTTCTTGTTTGAACTCATTGTAAGTTCTTGTCTGAACTCATTGTAAGTCTTGTTTGAACTCATTGTAAGTCTTGTTTGAACTCATTGCAAGTTCTTGTTTGAACTCATTTTAAGTTCTTGTCTGAACTCATTGTAAGTCTAGTTTGAACTCATTTTAAGTTCTTGTCTGAACTTATTGCAAGTCTTCTGATTTATGTTCTCACTAGAGAGTCCTGTGTGTGAACATTGCTCTTTATAATCATCATGATTATAATCAGTATCCAGTCAAAAAGAAAAAAAAATTAATATCATAGTCATACTGTTAATCACTTTTTATTCGCGAGAACTTTATTTTCGCGTAATTACGCAAGACAGTGTGCTCGCGAAGATTAAATTCTCGCGTATAATAGTATTCCTTAAGATTATATAGAGCAATTACCAAAATTCGTAAAAAATTTGTCTCGCTTATTATAAGTCAATGACTATCTCGCGAAAATAAGGTGTCGCGAAAATTTAGTGATCTACAGTACATAGAAAAAAATCTTTTTCAGTAGAAATTTATCATTTCAAGACAACATAAAAGGTATTTTATGTTTACACATGAATTATCACTGTTGCAGATAAAAAGTATGGCTGAACATCTGAACAAAACCCAGAAGCTGGACGTTCCTCGTCAGATGAGGTTCAATGATAAACCTTTTGTGGAGGATATTGAGGCCTTAATGCACCTAGTCAACAAGGAAATCACTGACAAGTACATCAAGGTAAAAGTTCATATGTTAAATCACCGACAAGTACATCAAGGTAAAAGTTCATAGGTCAAATCACTGACAAGTACATCAAGGTAAAAGTTTATATGTCAAATCACTGACAAGTATATCAAGGTAAAAGTTTATATGTCAACAAGGTTAAGAAATGACAGACAAGCACAATAAGGATAAAATTTCTGGGGTTCAAGTGAAATGTTTATCTGTATAGATATTTTAATTATTTCTCTGTGTACATGTATTGTATGCTTTATACATATAACAAATATGTAATTTTTGTAATGGTCAGTGTTTTATTAAGACTCCCTGTATTTAATATTTAAATGTTCTCATCCTCAGGAGCCACAGATAATTCGGAGTCTTAACACCAGTCTGGCCTTCTTCTTACATGACCTTCTGAGCTTCATGGATCGAGGTTTTGTCTTCAATCTCATCGCCAATTACTGTGGGGCGGTCAGTATAATTCTGTCTATTATATTGATTTTTTTTATATGCTTTGTTTTTAATTAAGAGAAAGGTAGAATTAAAAGCCAGAAGATAACTAATTCTCAGACTTAGTCAGATGTTGCTGAAGACCCTTTTTTATACCTTGTCTATATCTGTCATGTATTGTTTTCACTTGTGTTTTAACAGATAGCAGAGAAGATCCAGACTTTATCCGACTCCACCACTCTGATGTTACATAGACTCGACTTTCTACGGATTGTCTGCAGCCATGAGCATTACTTTCCTCTGAATCTTCCGTTCGGGACGCCCCTGACTCCGACCTCTGGTAAAGCGGCCAGCCCCACCCCCAGTATCCAGAGCACGAATTCAATGTCGTCCTACACTTCTACGTCGACGCTGACAGACCGTGGACAGTTCTACGAGCTCACACTACAGTTCAGACAGCAACACTTCCTGGTGGGGCTTATTCTGTCTGATCTCAAGGTGGCCCTGGATACACAGTGAGTCTTTATCGTTATTTACTGATGTTTAATTACATGCTGTCTTGTGTTGCATAGAAAGATAATAACAAATGTGTAAGAAATTTTACATGAATATTTATTAATTTTTTACATTAATGAAAAGTAAATAAAATAAGAAAATCAACATTTTCAATGAATTTCTTTGTCATGAATTGAGCTTAGAAATGTACTTACAAATTACATCACAAATGCTTAAATGTCTCTAAAAGCTTCTATTAAATTTTTCTCCATAGTAATCCAAATATCCATCAAAGAGCCATCAATGTCGTTCGTAATTTACTGTACAACCATGACCTTGACCTTCGTTACATGGACGCGGAGATGAAGGCTCGGTTAGCGGCCCTGTACATGCCGATTATTGGGATCGTGATCGAGGCCCTCCCCCAGCTGAGTGACCCCGGTCTTGACCTTCGGAGACACACCTGTCCGGAGGAGGAGGAGGCAGATAAGATCAGTCACAGTGTGGCCCTGGAGATAGCGGGGGCATCTGTGTTTGCTGGGAGAGTCCAGGAATACCCTGGTGGCCTGGATGAACCAAAGGTTGAGGGCTAACTAGTGATACTTAGTTCATAGATCTTAATGAGTACAGATTTAACTGTGAGAATTTGGTTGTGAAGAAATTTTATAAAAAGAATAGGGTAAATGTTCTGAACACTTGTCAAATACTTAATATAAATTTATTATATTTTTTTCTTTTTTACCTTATCTGAATCGATTATGTTAAGTTTTGCTAAGGTTTTGATCTCATCTTTGTATTTCAACAGAGCAAAAAGAGTCCCCTGACGACTGAGTGCACTCGTAATTTATTGATCTGTTTCCTGTGGGTGATAAAGAACGCAGACGAGACAGTTCTCCGTCAGTGGTGGAATGAGCTCAATGTGAATGTACTCGCTCAGATACTGGATGTCCTGTACTTCTGCATCTCAAACTTCGAGTACAAGGTTAGTATCTCTTCTGACAAGCTTTATTTTTTGTCAGTGTCTACCAAGTTACAGAATAATGGAAGGATGTTTTACATGCTTTGATATGTTAAAAATAAAATATTTAAGAAATTTAACATTAAAGAAAAAAATTACATATTTAGCTTTTATTAAAAAATGGAAATCCAATATTATGCTTTAAATTATGTGTACATGTTGCTTCTGAACATAAAGACAAAAGTTTGGACCAGTGTTAATGTGTTCAGATTTATTTAAAGACCAGTATCAAATGAGATGAAGCAAGTCAGATAATTTTGTTTTTCTTCTCTCTTTTGTAACAAAGCTGAAAAAGGATTCAGATTTTTTTAATCAATGTTGTTAGAGAAAACAAAGAGGACTAAAGAGAACCACACTTATAACAAAATGCCAGGGACCAACAATTTGATTTTTGTTAATTTAATGTAAACATAATTTTTTATTTCTGTTCCATTTTAACAATTAATTACATTATGCAATGAAATGAAGGTTGAAGGAGACAAAACTCTGACTTTGCTTCTGTTGAAAAACATTGTACTGTGTTTGTCTTCTATATGTTGTAAAAGGCTTTTGTGTAGAAAACCCATTGAATGTGATGGTCATTGTTGTAATACTGATTGACATGATTTATATGATGTGTAAATCTGGAACTAGCAGAGTTTTATGATCTGTGGTGCATGCTTGGTGGAGGAAGATATTGACAACCTAAATGACCCAATCCTGTATCTGTCTGTGATCTTTTATACCATCTGCCCTGGCTTGTTTTTGTTTCTTTATAAATAAATAATGTGAGAAATATGTACGGTGTTCAAAGACAATAATTATTTTAAGGGCTCAATGGTGAAAGAGAACCTGTCATTAAATATGAGATTTAGATAACGGTGATGCATTTAGCTTCAGTAATGTAATAGAGTCAAGTCTGTTTAAAGTCTCAATTAATTTAAGTTTGATACCAACATGCACATTTAATCCGTTACATTTTATTTATCATTTTTTAAAAATTTCCAGTCATTATTTTTAATGGTTTTCATAGAGAATTGCTGTGATTTTTAGAAGTGTTTGCTTAGTGGTGTTGGAAGAACTTTACTTAATGCCTTAAATACCATTTAAGAGTTACATATACATGTGTATTTTCCCATTGGCAAATCCCATGGAAAAATGAGGTATTATCCTATCAAATCAGTTATCAAAGACATTTACACCTATTTTGTAAAAAGGAACAACTTGTCAGTATTTTTCACTCAACAATTTACTAAATAAAAGTGTTATTGCAGTATTATGATAATCAGTTGTAGGATCTAATGATTATGAAAATGGTGATAAATGACTTCTTTGTTAGTGTCCTAAATATCTCCATCTCTCTATATGTCTGTCACCTTTGTTTTGTTAAGTTTCATTATATGTCTATACCTAATTTAAGTAGTACATGAATATTTTGACTGAAGATTGAAAGTTTTGTCCTTTAAAATCATTTTGCAGATTTATAAGTATACCAGATACAAGACTAAAATTTTTGTTACAGGTGTCTGTGTATAGAAGAGTTGGTGATTTACATATATATTGAAATTGACTCTGAATGAATAACTGTGATTAAGATGAAAATTGATGAAAGTTTTGTTTCTACGAATACCTTGGATTGCTGGAATTTTATTGCAATTCATCAGACTAAAGGAAACTCTCATATAATGGACAGTTGATTATTGAAGCTCACTATATTTTCACCACACTTAATTTTCGACAGAAAGCTATTTAGTATTAATAAGCAAAAACAAATTTGGGAGTTATAGTTAATATGGTAATATATAATCCTTACTGATACAAATGTGAAAGAGAATGTAAATTTTGGCAAGCAGACATACACACCTAATTAAGCGAAAATAAAGTTCTAGTAAATAAAATGTGATTTACAGTATTAAGATATTATGATTGATTTTGTAAATTATCTGACATTTATATGACCTTTTGGAGACATGCAGTTTCATTAATATCTAAATCGATGTTTAATCCTTTTCAAAATCATACTTTCAAGTAAAAGTGTGTAAGAATGATGCCTTAATTGTCAAGATTTGTTGAGGGTTGATAGGGGACATGTATTGCTTTAGCAGTACACCCAGAATCCCTCATTATTCCTGTTGTTTACAAACCTTTCTCCATATAATGCCCTCAATATCTGACCCCTATATTGATTCAACATGAAGGTCAGGCCAGTATTTCATCTAACATGCATCCACATTGTCTGTTAACTTAGTACTAAAACTGTGTAATCATGAAACCATTGATTGTTCTTACTCTTACCACTAACAGTAAAACCAGCAAAAAAAAAACAAAACAAAAAAAAAACAAATAGATTTAATACTTGTTGACTTCATTTTTTGTTTGACTATTGTCACAAGTAATCATGTTTTAAACCTTAGATTTCATTTCAGTGTTATTTAAACTTTGTATGAATTCTAAAATCAATAAAGTAGTTATAGTAATAATAATATTGTGCATATAATTTAATTTTGATATAATATCAAGGTGTATATTTTGGTACTCAATTAAATATACCCTTATTCTTATTTTTTTTAAGTTGGATTATATTTTGTGTGGATAATTTAATGAAATCAAAAAGTTATCAGGAAAGTAATGCTGATGGATTTAAATTCTGTGCATGGTTATAGCTGATCTAGAAAATGAGCATGAATTAGAATTAATCAAGAGAAAAGTAGGAGTTGTTTATGAGATGAATTAACCAGTAAAACATGTTCCTAACAACTCAGTGGATGTTAATACTTAGCATGGCTCAGAATGTTTAATTACCCCGGCCCTAATAACAAAAGATTTATTGAGCATGGATAACAGTTATCTGCCCCTGACTACACAGCTTCTGGTGTTATTTGATTGGCGTGTTTTAAGTGTGGAATGCTGTGCTTGGCCTCGCGCACACTTTGCCTTTATTATACAGCCCAAGTGGTTAAAGCCATTCAGATTATCAGCACACCTCGCTGAAACCCTGTTTGATGCCCCTCGCCCTAAGAGCGCTAGTCTGCCTCGATCATACGAGTTACTGTGGGAAGGCTTCCAGAGGAAATCACAGGACTTGCTTCAGCGACAGAGAAGCAAAGAGGATACACCACAGGTATACAGTTCTTAATGCAAGCAGCTCACTGATTCCAGCTAAACCCATACATTACCTAGTTAAAAATAAAACAAGAGTTTTACAGATTTCTTTCTCTGCTTTCAATATCCCTCCTTCCCCCTTTTAATGAATATGAGCAGACTACTGCAGAAACCTACTCCCAAAGCAAGCATGCTTCCCCCTTTGGTGAGCCTTTGTCAGTTGAAGTGATTTTAAGGATTCTTTTATTTTCTCCATTCATGATCTCTATCCACTACTTCAATCCCACTGAAATTCCCATTGCAGATAACCCCCCAATTCAAGCTTACCGGCATACAAAGATTGTCCTTAGTGCTGTCATGGTTGAGGTCCTGATACTGTTTACTGCTGAGTCTGTTGTTTCTGTTTTGACAACCCCAACATCCCAACTGAAACGCCAACCCAATCATACAGTAGCAGACCATCTGCAGCACCTTGTTTTGATTTACTGATATACCATAAGTCATTCTGTTGAGCTACTCATCTCCTTCTAGCATGAAGACCTAGGAAATGGACTTTTTCCCAAAAATTTATCTCTTCTTCTTTTAAGAATGCAAATACAATCTTTTAATTGTACTGTATACAGGGTTATTTTTTTATTTTTTTTGCAAATTGAGAACAATTTTGCCCCATTTTAAATTCGCCCAGTCATAGTTTTGTTTAAGAAATTATGCTGTGTAATTTGCAAATGGTTAAAGTCACGTTTTAAATTTTTTTTCAAAGTGCACAAAGGTAGGCGCTTATCATAAAACGGGGGCGAAAATTTCCCTGTATACAGTATTATTTAGAGTCAGTTTTTAATTTTTTTTCAAATCCTTTCTAATTGAAGCAACCAAAACAGAGTTGTGGGAATGTATTGAATTCTCATGTATCTGCAAATGGTTAAAGTCACTTTTAATTTTTTTTCAAAGTGCACAATGTAGGTAGAGCTTTGCTTATCATAAAAATTCACTGGGAGATGCCTCCGACAAGTTATTCAGTGTTACAATACTTATCTCTGGTTGGTGAAATTGAAATTATACATGGATTTGATAAGGTTTCAGTAGATATATTTCCACCCCATATGTATATTAATGTTTATATATGGATACCTGATATGGCAGTGCTCTGTTCGAAATAAAATCTTAAGGTTATCTACTTTGAGCAGTAGTTTGAAAACATGCTTGTGTCATTGGTAAATCATAAGAAAGAAAAAAAAACAACAAGCAGCCATTTTTGAAGCCAAGTCCATGCAAGTCTGGTGACTTTTCTTTTAGCTGATAAAAACAAGGTCAAGAAATTATACAGAGGTTGAACAATGTCTGACTTTTTTCAAATGAATCTTAAATAATTGAAAAAGTCATTGTTTCACTGTTCCGTTGTAGTAAATTTAAGTTTGTGTTGATGTGTTTCAGACCATGATTTTTAAATGCCTTCATTGGTCAAACTTGCTTATTTTGAACTTTGGATATATTAAAAAAATGTGTTGGTCACTTGAATTTCAATATATCTAGACCACCGATGTCCTTATTGTGTCAGTGTTCAGGATAATAATAAGATTTTAATTTTTTTATATTGAAAGTTATCTTCAATCAGAATAAATTGGTAGAATGTACTCTTACAAATCTCCTTTCAGGCATATAATAATGATTTTGAGGTTTGAATTGAAGATAGATTAAGTTTCATCATTCCTTTATTTATTGTACAAAATTCTGCCTTAATTCTGATAATGTTCCAAAAGTATTATAACTAATTACTAAAATGCAAAAGAAAAAAATTTCAGGATATTCCTTTTTACCGGCTAGAGTTATCTTTCCTACCAGAGGGTCAGTTAACCTTGATTTCTTAGGTGATGTGACATTAAGCTGAAATGTAATAGATGTAATGTAGAATGGTAATAGTTTATCCATGTATATTCACTGTCAAGAAAAGGTGAATTATTTCTGTTAGTCTACAATTTTGGTTTTCAAATTGATGTGTTTGTTGAATAATGAACATTTGCAATAAACATTTTGTGAGGTGATTTGGACTATTGTACTGGTATTGTATTGTTTGGTCCCTTAGTAAATGTTAGCTGCATCAAACATATACTGAGTGTTGATTACCAGTCATTGTGTACATGTTTCCTACACCAGGAGTTAGTGTTTCCACAATTTGTCTGCATCTTGTCAAGTACAAGACCTCATACTTTGTATACTGTATTTGGTTGGTATTTTCTGTTATTATTTTTTTTTTTTACATATTGCCAGCAGATGGAATATTAAAATGTGACCCAAGAATGTGAGCATGAGATGATGACTGTCACAGATTTATACTCTATTCTGGTAATGTTATGTAGTGTGTTAAACCTCAGTTGTACAGATTATTATTTTGATGCTGTATCTCAGGGTAAGAAGAGCCTGGCCCAGTGTTCTAAACAGACGATACAGAAGAGTGTGGACATGAAATCTCGCCTGGAGGAAGCCATACTGGGGAATCTGAACGCTCGAACAGAGATGATGATGAGAAGACGACAAACATCATACAGTCAGATGGTGGGTGAGTGATATTTAGTCAGGTGAGTTGTAAACAGTCAGATGGTGGGTGAGTGGTATTCAGTAAAATGTCCAGTGAGCTGTAAACAGTCAGTTGTCAGGTATGTTACTAACAGTCAGATGTCAATTAAAAAATTGTAAGATACAGACAAATCTCACGCATTTGAAATTAAATTTTTGAAAAAAAAGAGTATATTTATCATGATTGTTTAATTATTAGGGGGAAGTTAGTGTTTATTAGTTTCGTTGTTTTACAGGAGATTTTTTTAATTATTGATGTCTCTGTTTTACAGGGAATGTTATGATTATTGTTGTCGTTTTACAGGGGACGGTGGTCAGATGAACTCTCAGGGTGACAGACTCCTGAGGTGGAGAAAGGATCAGATCAATTACAAACCATCCATGGACCAGATGGAAAGGTATTCTGTTAAAGACAGAGTGCTTTATTGAATTGGTGTCAGCTGTATTGTAAACATCCAAAAGAGAAAGTGATTTTGGCAATTGGAAAAAAAGAATGTTTCAAAAATCATCATGCACAATTTCTAGTGAAAATAAAATCCATAAGGAGATGAACACTACTTTTATAATGTCAATTATATTTGCTTGAAATTAATGTATACAGGGTTATTTTCACTCTATGTTATTTTCGCCCTTTCACACTTGCAAACAATTGTGCCCCATTTTAAATTCGCCCAGTGATCGTTTTGTTTAAGAAATTATATATAATTGTTTAGATTTGCCGCGTTTTAATTTGCCAAAATGAGGGTAAGGCAAAGGGGGCAAAATAAATCGGGGGTGAAAATTCCCCAGCATTCAGTACTTTTTACCTTTTGTCAGTTTATCTTCTTGAATTATGTCAGTCCAGGTTGAGATTTGATCGATCCTTGATTATGCTCCAATGTTGTTGGTTTATTTTACAGTGTTAAGTCATGCGATGTAGAGGCTCATATTGAGGGAAGTCTGGCCGCCGAGATCACTAACGTTGTTGGTTTATTTTACAGTGTGACATGCGATGTGGAGGCAGATGCTCACATTGAGGGAAGTTTGGAAGCTTTAGATCACTAATGTTGTTGGTGTTATTTTGATTTTATGTCTTTGATTGTTATAGGTCACAATGAAACTTAAAACACATATTTGGTGACAGGGACACTTTTTACATTAATTGGGAAAGTTTTATGTTGGATATACATTCTTTATTAGAACAGTATTTCTGTTACAGATAGCCAGAAACATGGAGTATGCCCCACTTAGATAAAAAAACTTTAACACACAGATAAAACTGTTCTCTCCACTTCTGTCCTGGGATTGTGTTTGCCACACATTGTGCCTTTTACTGTTAAGATTCACAATAAAAGACTTAATACACAAAATTTAAGGCCTTCATTTCATTTGGGACAAGGTTTTAGGTTTATCATCATCTTTTTACATACCCTACTTGTTAGTGTTAAAGATATGTTTAGAAGTTTCTGGGCATGCTGTTTATATTATATATTTATATTGTTCTAGTTTCTGGACATGTTGTTTGTGGAAGAAACAGATCAATGTGTTGATCTCTGCGACACTGTAGCTCACTGATCTGTTTGTATGATGTTGATATAATTTTTTGTGTGGAGGAGACAGAACAATGAAACATGACCTATGTCTTCCCACTTCAGAGTAACTGTAGTTCACTGATCTCTTTGTATGATGTTGATGTAATTGTTATTATTCCAGTTCCTGGACATGCTGTTTGTCCTGGAGAACATGTGCTGACCACACGTGTACTCAGACACTGTAGTTCACTGATCTGATTTGTATGAAAAGATGTAATTGTTACACAAAAAGGAATTGCTGTTTGTTCATTTACAGAAAATTGTTGTCTGCTTTTATCAGACACTGTAGTTGTACTGATCATAAATGATTTTAATTGTTTTAGTTCCTGGACATGCTGTTTGTGATTTAATATGTGCTGACCTCTGTCTTCGTGTACTCAGACACTGTAGTTCACTGATCTGTTTGTATGATGTTGATGTAATTGTTATTATTCTAGTTTCTGGACATGCTGTTTGTGGAGGAGACAGAACAATGTGCTGACCTCTGCCTTCGTCTACTCAGACACTGTAGTTCACTGATCTCACAGACTCGCTCCCAGGCCAGCGCCTCTCTTTACATGCTGATGAGACAGAACTATGACCTAGATAACGTAAGTCTGTCTTTGTCTCTTTATTTGTAGATCTTTTAACAATAAACTTAACTACATTATAAATAGTGAATCATAGTCATATATTATAGAAACAACATATTTTTTGGAACCTCAAGGAACTACACAGAGTAAAGGCATTTATGCAAATATACAGCTGCCCAATATTACTCTGTTTGCATTTTAATTGTTGCATCAATATTATTTCAAATCTATTCTTGACTAGATAATCAAAATTACAAGTATGTTATATCCAATATCAAGCAACTGAAAACTTGTCTGTAAACTTACAGAACTTTGCTCGAGTGAAGATGCAGGTGACAATGTCACTCAGTAAACTGGTGGGACAAAATCAGAACTTTAGCGAGGAATCTCTTCGACGATCTCTGAAGACGATTCTGACCTACGCCGAGGAAGACGCAGATCTGGCCGAGACACCCTTTACAGAACAGGTCAGATATCTTCAATGTGTTATGGATTATGGATATATCTTAATGTGTGAGATATCTCGGTGTGTTATGGAGATATCTCAGTGTATATTGGATATATTTTAATGTGTGAGATATTTCGATATGTTAGTTAGATCTATGTATAAGTTAGATATTTATTGTATTAGTGAGATTTCTTTATGTGTTAGTGAGATACATGAATAAATGTGCAAGTTAGATTTCTTAATGTTTAAGTAAGATATCTGTATGTGTTATTGAGATATTTTAATGTGAGAGTAAGCTATCTAAATGCGATATAATTATCAGGTTAAGGACCTAGTGTTCAACCTCCACATGATTCTGTCAGACACAGTGAAGATGAAGGAATTCCAGGAGGACCCTGAGATGTTGTTAGATCTAATGTACCGCATCGCCAAGGGTTACCAGAACTCCCCTGACCTCCGACTCACCTGGCTCCAGAACATGGCCAGTAAACACAGCGAGGTAAGAAACGTCTACAGCTCTCTCTGGTGTAACTCCTTATCTACAGATTACTTTTAATGAAATGGAATTGCGTATCAGTGTTAATGTGCTGATGTGTTCCATTATTATAGAGGAACAACCATGCAGAAGCTGCCCATTGTTTGGTGCATGCTGCTGGTCTGATAGCTGAGTATCTTTATATGATAGAAGACAAACCCTATCTACCTGTGGGGGCAGTGGACTTCCAGGTGAGTATCTTTATATGATAGAAGACAAACCCTATCTACCTGTGGGGGCAGTGGACTTCCAGGTGAGTACCTGTGTATTTCTTACAGATAAAAATCAGGTTGTCTTATTTACAGCTCACCTTGACAATTCAACATAAACTTAATATGCAATACCCCTGTTGTTGGCATCCCTATGAAAGATAAAAGAGCTAGTCTATTTCCATGTGACTATTTTCAGAAAATCACGGTGAACGTTCTGGAGGAGAGTGCGGTGTCAGACGATGTTGTCTCCCCTGAGGAGGGAGTGTGTACCGGGAAATACTTCACAGAGAGTGGACTGGTGGGAATACTAGAGGCTGCAGCCATGGAGTTTAACATGGTAAGATATACATACATATAAATACTTTACAGAGAGTGGACTTGTGGGAATACTAGAGGCTGCAGCCATGGAGTTTAACATGGTAAGATATACATACAGGGAAATACTTCACAGAGAGTGGACTGGTGGGGATACTAGAGGCTGCAGCCATGGAGTTTAACATGGTAAGATATACATACAGGGAAATACTTCACAGAGAGTGGACTGGTGGGGATTGCAGAGATTTCAACCAAGTCTATGTTAGGATGTTCATTTATTAACAAAATGTGTAACTAATTAGCTCATTTGTTATAGGCTGGGATGTATGAACATGTCAATGAAGTTTATATTAGGATGTACATTTATACACATCTACGTAACTAATTGGCTAATTTGTTATAGGCTGGGATGTATGAACATGTCAATGAAGTCTACAAGATTCTGATCCCAATCCATGAGTCAGCCAGAGATTATAAAAAGCTGAGTGCTATACACAACAAGCTCCATGATGCCTTCAACAACATCACAAGACAGGCAAGTCTATGTTTTCTATTGTTGTAAAAAATTCATGTCCATTTGTTTATCCAAGTTTATAAGAAAAAAGGGAAGAACATAAATTTGCCAAAATAAAGATAATGTCTAAATAACTTCTTCTAGTTGATTGGTTGATGTTTGATGTTTTGGGTCAGTTTTGTAGTACTGTTTTAATTATGACAATATGTTCTATTGATAGGAGGGGAAGAGGATGTTTGGGACGTACTTCAGGGTGGGATTTTATGGTCACAAGTTTGGAGATCTGGATGGAGATGAGTTTGTTTACAAAGAGCCACCCATCACCAAACTGCCAGAGGTCGCTCATAGACTGGAGGTAGGGGACTAAATACACAGAAAACAAAACAATCTGTTAGCTGTTATAAAAAACACACAAAATAAAACAGTATGTCAGCTTTCTGTAACGTTATTTGTAATCTGTCTATAAGATATTGTCATCTATTTGTAACATGAAATTTGAAAATCTAATTAAATCTTCAGAGGTAATTTACTGTGAATAAATGTAAACATATACATGTATATACAATGAATATAAACTATCCAAGTGTGAGTGAACTGTAAGTTTTTATATATGTGCCTTGATTGTCAGTGATAGATAAACTCTAGTTTGACCTCTCTACAGAACTTCTACAGTGACAGGTTTGGGGAGGGTGTGGTCCACATCGTCAAAGACTCCAACCCTGTAGACAAAGAGAATCTGGACCCAACTAAGGTGAGAGAATTACATTTAATTTTACTAATAAAAGAATTTAAGAAATACATTTCAGTTAAAGGTGCATAGACACAGTTTTAAGGTAATAACTCCTCAAATTAAAAAAAAAACCAAAAAACTTTTTATTAGTTAACGAAAGTAGGTACGGAATTGGTTTTGTCAGTTGTCATTTATATATATATAAAGAATATTTCCCAGTCAGGAAAAATACTGGCCCCAAGTTAATATTAAAATGAAAAAACCTGTTTTGGGTAATAATTGGTTTGTATAAGCATTGTTCAGCTAATACTACCTAGATAGATGTAAAGCATGCATAAAGTAAAAGCATAGTGTGTTGTTTAATGCTTTATTTGTGTCTATTCTAGGCCTACATCCAGATAACCTATGTGGAGCCATATTTTGACCTGTATGAATACAGAACGAAAGTGACCTACTTTGAAAGAAATAACAACATCAGTAAGACTTACTGTTTTAGAACAGCTGCACTTTTAATCTGATTCTCTTGCATTTTAAGTGTGAAAAGAAAAATTGGGCATCTATACCAAGTTTTTGTATGTAATTGTAGAGAGGTTTGTTTTTGCTACACCCTTTACACAAGATGGCCGTGCTCATGGAGAAATTCATGAACAACACAAGAGGAAAACTATTCTAACAACCAGTCACATGTTTCCCTATGTGAAAACGAGGCTTCAGGTCATCAGCCATGATCAGGTATATTTTATTTTATTGGAGAATCTCAAAATTCTGTCAGCCATGCTAGGTACACTCAGTTCTATCTAGATCAGGCAGCATTCTGATAATAACATTTATCATTTGCAGTTCTGAATCTCTCAAGACTCTGTCAGTCGTGATAGATACACTTATTTTTATCTATTTAGACTCTATCAGCATTCCAATATCATTTATTGACCCTAGGTCCTTTTGACCCCTATTGAGGTGGCAATAGAAGACATACAGAAGAAGACGAAGGAGCTAGCTGTCGCCCTAGCTCAGGAACCACCCGACACCAAAATACTACAGATGGTGCTACAGGGCTGTATAGGAACCACTGTCAATCAGGTTTGTAGTTATATTTAGTAACAGGAACCACCCGACACCAAAATACTACAGATGGTGCTACAAGGCTGTTTTGGAACCACCGTCAAACAGGTTTGTAGTTATATTTAGGAACGGGAACCTACAAGTGTATCACTGCTGATAGGGACAATTATCAGTCAGGTAGGTCATTGATAGTAACTATCACTCCAGATGCTGTCAAGGCATTTACTCAGACTGGTATTATAGAATTGTAGATTTGTACACTTTTATATCTTACTACAAGTACATTGCACATGCACTGTAGTTATATGAGGATAGTATTTCAGAAAGTGTAAGTGTATTTTCATGAATGTCAGGTAGTTGAAACATGGTTCTCCATGGGTCGTTTCCCAGTTAAATTCTTTACTGCCACAGTTAAAAACTCAGCGCCATAGTTCCACTACAGTTAAAATATTAGCACTACAGTAAGATCGTCATTTTAAGTACAATAAATATTATATTTTTTAAAAAATCATGAACGGTTTTCAGTTTCAAATGCTAAACTGTTAATTTACTTTAATTACGGTCCATTGTTTGGCTTGCACAATCAATTGTCTTCTAGTTCTAGACCTCGCTGGACACATGAAGCCGTTTTTCACACTTCCCGATAAGGAAGTTTTAAATATTAATTAGTTTATGCTTGAATAGTTCTATAGTTTCCCATGTCTCTAACATTACACTAGCACTGTGAGTTAAAGCATCATATGTGCCTTATGATTTCCTCCATCGATCTTTAATGAACACTGCATGTGTATATTTACCTTTTTAAAACAGTCTTTGATTAAATTAGGGTTAAATACTTAAAACCTGTTATTATTGATAGTTTTTCAGATTCTACAAGCAAATATCTATTTATCTAGTTTTTTGTATGTGTTTGGGAAGGATTGGGGGGGGGGGTCTTTTTCACAGTACATATTGTGGAAATAATTTAATTTTTGTTCTACACTATGTTAAATTGATTTCATTTTTAAAAAAAATTATTGTTCTTAAATTCATCAAACAAATTTATTTTGCCAACTATTAATTCGGGATTCCTTCGTGATTTGGTTGCGAAATGACCGCGAATATAAGTACTTTGCATGATTCTTGTGCCACAGTTAAATTTGAAATGATGGAGAACCCTGGTTAAAATAATGTAATGATATTTTTGAAACTAATAATCAGAGAACTTTTTTTACAAAATTTTTTGTAATTCTGTGTTCATACAGTACAGTTGAAATGTAATCTTGATATAACTTTAATCTTGACTTTCTGATGTTGTAGGGTCCAGTAGAGGTAGCTGTGGTGTTCCTGAAGGACAGCCCAGAAAATAAAGCACAGGACGTCCGCCACAGAAACAAACTCCGTCTCTCCTTCAAGGATTTCCTCAAAAAGTAAGACAATGGTGTAAAGAAGAATAATGACCCCCCGGTCAATATTCTACGGCGAAAAATGACCCCCGGTCATTATTCGACGTCGAAAAATGACCCTTTTGCCCGTAGAAAAAGTGTCACCACCCTAAAAATTTGCAGAACCCACGTGAAGAAAAATGACCCCCGTAGAAAAATGACTCCCTCTGGATTAAAGCTGAAATTTTTAGGGGCCAAATAAGAGCTCTCTTATTATGTATCAGTCGAAAACGATCTTTTTAAAAACAGCTTATAGAGACAAAAGAGTTACATTATTGATAACACATAGTGCATGTTAGAATAGAAAAATAGGAAAAAGGTGACTCGACCCCAGATTTAAAAAGAAAAAAAATGGAAAAGGGGGTGTAGTGTCCATACCCCAAGTGCATGTGGTTATGTCTACATGTATAGTTTTTGCATTAGAATGTGTATTTTACACTAGCCCATAGCTTTACAGAGCATATTTTTAGGTGTTATACCCACCCCCTTACTTATTTAGGAGGAAGTCGATTATCAACAAAAGCAACCCCAAAAAATCTCTTAATTATTTCATACGAGTTTTATGTATTTTTCTGGTTACAGAAAATATTAAAATTAGTTTCGCTGTAAAAAAAAAGATATCAAAGAGTGTATATTGTGAAAAAAATATTAAAAACTTTATTTCTTAAAAAAATTTATTCATACATTTAAAACTATGGAAAAGGTTTGCCTCTCTCTCTCTCTCTATCTCTTTCTTTCTCTCTCTCTCTCTGCAATTTGCCCTTTTATACTGGTAGTTTAAATGATGAATTATTCAAAGGAAGACCAATTATCATATACAGTATATTTTTCCTACGCACCTGTTATTAATTTTGTATCACTTTAAAGGGGGTCAGTTTTCAATGGGGGTCAATTTTTTATAGAACTAACATATAAAATAATGACCCCTAGGACTCTTTTTCTACAGAAAATGATTTTTTTCTACGGGTGGGGGGTCATTTTTTGATGTTGAAAAATGACCCTCCAGTCATTATTCGATGGGGGTCATTATTCGTCTTTACAACGGCATACTGAAATGATTGTTAAACGTGTCTCTGAGTAGTTACAATATTTATCATTTGGCTTTTTTTTTCTATTTATACAGGTGCAGTGATGCTCTTCATAAGAATAAAACCCTGATTTCAAGTGATCAGAAAGAATATCAGCGTGAGTTAGAACGAAACTACCACAATGTCCGAGACAAACTGCTACCCTACATCTCATCTAACCTGGCCACTCTAAGATCAAAGCACCACAGACGGTTAGTAGTAATATCATAAAACTATTGAATCTAGGTAACGAATATACTCTAAGATCTAAGCACTACAGACGGTCAGTAATATATAATATCAACACTACTGATTCTAGTTGTGGAATATACTCTCAGATCTAAGCACCACAGACGGTCAGTAATAATATAATATCAACACTAGTGAATCTAGTCTCAGATTTAAGCACCACAGACGGTCAGTGATAATATAATATCAACACTAGTGAATCTAGTCTCAGATCTTAGCACTACAGACGGTCAGTAGTAATATAATATCAACACTAGTGAATCTACTCTCAGATCTAAGTGATTCTAGTCTCAGATTTAAGCACCACAGACGGTCAGTAATAATATAAGCAACATAAAATTGAAATTCTTGTTCTCAGGCCCGCGCGCATCTGTTTTGAGGTAGCCGCATTGCTAATTTTATTGTATTTTTAATAAAATAAAAATTTTGTATTGTGGAGACCAATCTGGAAGAAAAATTCCGACCTCATTTGTTTTGTAGTTTAGTATTCAAATTTTACTTCTGGTAGCCATTTTCAAAGACATTTTGGGTACTTCATTGGAAAATACATTCGAGGACATTGCCTACGATGTTCACACTCTGATAAGCAATGGCTAAAGCAGAACTTTTAATCAGACATGGAAAGTATATCTGTGATTAAAAAAAAATATCTTTATGTTAAAGAAAATTCAAAAATTAAAAATATACCTCCCTTATCTACTTTATTGCCAATAAATTAATACTGTATACAGGGTTATTTTCGCCCCCGTGCTATTTTCGCCCTTTTGCACTTGCGAACAATTTTGCTCCGTTTTGAATTCGCCCAGTCATAGTTTTGTTTAAGAAATTATGCTGTGTAATTTGAATTTGCACCGTTTTAAATTCACCCAATCAGGAAGAGGGCAAAAGGGGCAAAAATTAAAAGGGGGTGAAAATTTCCCTGTATACAGTAAATAAAATGCCGCCCACCGGCATCTGTTTGGGAGAAAATTGGCCTGAGAACCAGAGAATTAAATTTAGATAGCCTAACATAAACACTAGTGAATCTAGTCTCAGATCTAAGCACTACAGATGGTCAGTAATAATATAATATCAACACTAGTGAATATACTCTCAGATCTAAGCTGCACAGACGGTCAGTAATATATAATATCAACACTAGTGAATATACTCTCAGATCTAAGCAGCACAGACGGTCAGTAGTAATATAATATCAACACTAGTGAATATACTCTCAGATCTAAGCAGCACAGACGGTCAGTAATAATGTAATATCAACTCTAGTGAATATACTCTCAGATCTAAGCAGCACAGACGGTCAGTAGTAATATAATATCAACACTAGTGAATATCCTCTCAGATCTAAGCAGCACAGACGGTCAGTAGTAATATAATATCAACACTAGTGAATCTACTCTCAGATCTAAGCACCACAGACGGTCAGTAATTATATAAAAACAAACTATTGAAATTTGTGTGGAATATACTCTCAGATCTAAGCACAATAGACGATCAGTACACACATGCCATTATAAGTCTGTTGATTGTGTATATGAATGACTGACCAATTTATTTTTGGTCAAGAACAAGGTACTGTTTCAATACAAATCTTCTTTTAAGATCTAAGCATCATGGAGGGTCAGCTGTATATGAATTATTGACCAATCTATTTTTAGTAAATTATTTAAAATTCATATGGACCAATTAATGTCTTTTTAAGACAATATTGAACTTTTGTATTGGATTTATAAGTTTGATTTTGTTATAATTTTCAGTGGGAACAAAGATTCTCCCAGTAAACACAAATCATCTGGATCCTCCAAAACCTAGTCTTAGACAGACCAGGCCATAATTTACACAGAACGAGAGTGAATTACAGAAACTTCATCGTAAAAATGTTAACCAGGTGCTTAATGGAAAGGTGTGCCCTGTACAAGATGGAGTTTTGTTATCAAAAACAACACTGCAGGACAAATGCCATAAGGTTCACCTGTCAGAAGAAAATCATGCTTTATATTAGTTCATAACAAGAGATCTGAGTCATTTTATTTATTATACCATATTTATTAGATTACTTACCCAAAGAGGAAATCCAGGTTCCTGCATACTTACCTATATTTTTTGGTTGAGACGTTACCTGTAAATTAGCTGTCAGCTGGACTTGTTTTTACACAGACACTGATAAACAAAAACCTCCTTCAAACTTTTTAGATAATATGTGTGTGTATACTTTGTATTTTAGAAAAATCTTTTGTATATAACCAAGATATCTGAGGATAAGGAAAGAGTTGTATATCAGGGGAAATCTGGACAAACATTTACATTTCTCTCCTACTGCGCTCTTATTTTGATAGTTTTGTTTATTAACAATTTGGACTCTGTTAAGAACTTGGATAAGTTTAAGCATCATGTTTCATCCCCCTTTTTATAGTGCAATATTGTTAAAGATTTTGAAGCTTTGTTTGATTTGATGCCTTTGTATTTAGAAAAAAATCAGCATTAAATTATTGTGATAAACTATTTGAATTCTTTACCAATACATGTCAGTTCCAAATCATGGTACATTCCATGGGTTCTCTCTAGGATTATTAAAACTTAAGTCCCAGGACTCGTGGTTTTTTGAGAAGGTTGGGTGACTTGAGTCCCAGCTAAAAATTAAGAGTCCAAGGACCTTTATGCTGAATATAAATTTACTACAGCAGTACACACATGACCAAACACAACTTTATAATAAAAAAGAAGTCAATATTGCAATGAATAAAACAAAACAACAAGAGGCCAACCGGCCTCATAGGTCACCTGAGTATTATGTAAAAACTTTCCAACAATTGAATTTGTTCATGTTTTAAACCAAAGGCCATAAAATTCACAATTTTTAAAGAGGCACCATTGCTTATTATAACTTTACTCTTTGCTTGCTGACTTTGATTACTTAATACGCAGAGGTAGATCAAAGTATCAAAGAGAAAATGGATTTCCACATAATTAATTGTGCACCCCATCTCACAGTCCAAACCGCAGACCCTGGGGCACATATTTCAAATTCTGGAAATTTTATCATAAATTTCATTTCATCATATATGGTGGAGTAATACCAAAGAGCAGATTTCAAAGCATTAATTTATTTTCAGACTATTTAACCCTAGAACCCCACTGTAACCCCAGAACCCCCGAGCCAGGGGAAATGAAATACATAATTTTGGAAGAGACATTCTTGCCCATCATAACTATGAATTTGGTTAGTTTATTTAATACCCAGAAGCAGAGAGGAAGGTTTGCAAAGAATTTATGCATTTTCACTATATAATCTATAGCCCTACCCTAGCACCTAAGAACCCCTGATCCTTGGGCCATGAAATTCACAATTCTGGAAGAGGTAGCTTAATTTAACATAACTATGTACTTGGTTATTTAATTAATGCCCAGGAGCAGAAATGAAGGTTCTCAAACAAATAATGCATTTTCACCATATAATATATATAGCCCCGCGGCCCCGCCCTAGCACTAGAACCCCTGACCCAGGGGCCATGAATTTTACAATTTTGGCAGAAGACTCAATGCTGATAACAATCACGCAAACAGTTTGACTGCTTGATGTGCAGGAGTAAAGAAGATTTAAAAGATTGCACTAATTTAAGTGGTTTTGGTCCCACCCCTCAGGCCCAAGGGGAACAGGGATCATAAAATTCACAATTTTTGTTCCCCTTCACCCATAGATGCTTTATGCTAAAATTGGTTGAAATCGGTTAAGTGGTTGCAGAGAAGAAGCTGAAAATGTTCAAATGTCAACGCAAGAAGACGCATGACAAAGGATGAAAACGGATAGCAATAGGTCACCTGAGTCTACTTAGGTAACATAAAAAACATTTCATACCTATTTGGAAATTCAATGTTTTTATAGTCACTTTCTTCTGTCTTAGGCCTTGCCAATTTTCTGTACACACTTCTTCACCATCAGTCCATTTAATCTCCATTTTTAGCTCTTCTGAGCCAAAGGCTCAAAGACCTAATGCTATGGCCATTATGTGCGGTGTGCGTAAACTTTTTAGAATAATGGCCATAACTCAAAAATCCCTTGGCCAATCAGTGCCAAATTTGTCACAGGGTATCCTTGTCCCAAGGGCTACCATTTATACTAAAATAAGGTTGGGACCCTCAAACAAGGGGAGATAATCAGGAAAACAAAACCAAAAGTACTGGTTGCTAAAAAGTCTTCTTCTCCAGAACCATCAGGCAGATTTTCACCAAACTTACATACAAGGATCAGGATATGTCGAAGATTAAAATTTGCACGGGGAATTACCCTGGGGCAAAGGGCGTGGTCTCAATGTCACTTCAAAGTTGACCTAAATTTACAATTAATAATGAAAGAAAAAGTGAGCAAGCTCACATACCCCACGCTCCCCCAAAACTCAAAGTGCTGAAAATCCGGGAAAAAATGAAAGAATCGGAATTTCCCGGTAATATGCACATCTACACATTGTGTCCTATATATCTGCAAAGTTTGATGAAATTCTGTGCAGCGGTTTATGAGGAGTTGCGCTGACAACTGTTCATCACTATAAGTTGTAAAGTGCCGAAATTCCCAGAAAAATAAAGGATTCGGAATTTCCTGGTAAAATGCACATCTATACATTGTGTCCTAAATATCTGCCAGGTCTGACGAAATTCTGTGCAGCGGTTTATGAGGGGTCGCACTGACAAAATGTTTATCTGTATATTCAAGGTATGGCCAAAAGTCTAATTTGAAAAGTGCCAAAATTCCCAGAAAAATAAAGGAATCGTAATTTCCTGGTAATATGCACATCTACACACTGTGTCCTAAATATCTCCAAAGTGTGACGAAATTTTGTGTAGCGGTTTATGAGGAGTTGCGCTGACAAAATCTTGATCTCTATATTCAAGGTATGGCCAAAAATCTAAGTTGAAAAGTGTTGAAATTCTAAAAAAAAATAAAGGAATCGGTATTTCCTGGTAATATGCACATCTACACATTGTGTCCTAAATACCTGCAAAGTTTGACGAAATTCTGTGCAGCGGTTTATGAGGAGTTGCGCTGACAAACTGTTCATCTCTATATAAAAGGTATGGCCAAAAACATAAGTTTTTAGTGCGGGAATTCTAAGAAAAAATAAAGGAATCGGAATTTCCTGGTAATATGCACATCTACATATTTGTCCTAAATATCTGCAAAGTTTAACGAAATTCTGTGCAGCGGTTTATGAGGAGTTGCGCTGACAAACTGTTCATCTCTATATTCAAGGTATGGTCAAATGCCTAAGTTAAAAAGTGTGGAAATTCCCAGAAAAAATAATGGAATCGGAATATCCTGGTAATATGCACATCTACACATTGTGTCCTAAATACCTGCAAAGTCTGACGAAATTCTGTGCAGCGGTTTATGAGGAGTTGCGCTGACAAACTGTTCATCTCTATATTCAAGGTATGGTCAAATGCCTAAGTTAAAAAGTGCGGAAATTCCCAGAAAAAATAATGGAATCGGAATTTCCTGAAAATATGTACATCTACATATTGTATCCTAAATACCTGCAAAGTTTGACGAAATTCTGTGCAGCGGTTTATGAGGAGTTGCGCTGACAAAAACTAGAGGTACTGTGAGCAATGAGCTCACTAAATGATACCCCCCGCCTCCCATAATGTCGATGTGTTGCTTTATATTGTTTTACGGTAATGTGTAAAGAGGAATAACTCGTCCTATGAAATGTTATCCAGAAGCTTCTATTATGTGACGTCATAGGTAAACAAAAAATGGCAAGGTCCATGTCTTGCTCTGGGAAACCTAAAATACGTGTCGAATAAAAAAGTAAAATAGGAGGTGCGCAATGGCAATATGTAATAAAGATTCTGTGAAAGTTTCATTAAATTTCACTCAGTAGTATAAGAGGAGTTGCGGATAAGAGAAAAAGCGTAACAGACGGACGGACGGACGGACGGAAATCCCGATCACTATCCCAGATAGCATGACTATGTTGGGCCAACATTTGTTAAAGGTTGTATGGTTGGCGTTGGGGGAACAACGTTGGGCCAACGTTGGACCAATGTTACCAAGTCAACCTTCTCGACCATGACAGAATTCGTATGTTGGCCCATCGGTGGTCCAACGTAAGCAACTTCCATTCACTTTAGTTTCCAAAGAAGGAAGGATCATGGCGTTGGCCCAACGTTGAACCAATGTTTATAATACACACTTAAAGAAAGTGTATTTACAAGTTGGTAGTAGTATGTTGGCCCAACGTTGGACCATTGTTTGTAATACACCCTTAAAGAAAGTGCCTTATCAAGTTTGTAGTAGTATGTTGGCCCAACGTTGGCACAATGTTTGTAATACATCCTTAAAGAAAGTGCCTTATCAAGTTGGTAGTATTATGTTGGCCCAACGTTGGCTCATTGTCTCTAATACACCCTTACAGAACGAGTCCTGTCAAGTTGGTAGTAGTATGTTGGCCCAACGTTGGCACAATGTTTGTAATACATCCTTAAAGAAAGTGCCTTATCAAGTTGGTAGTATTACGTTGGCCCAACGTTGGCCCATTGTTTGTAATGCACTCTTAAAGAACGTGTCCTATCAAGTTGGTAGTAGTATGTTGGCCCAACGTTGGCCCAATGTTTGTAATACACACAAGTGTTATTTTGTTTAGGTCTTCAAAGATGGGATATTTATATTGGGCCAACGTTGGCCCAATTAATATACTGCCAACTAATTGATGGTGTCAATTTTATAATTAGCTGCTGAGCTTTACGTTGGGACAACGTTGGTCCATTCTGAAATAATTAAGAGGACTTTCTATGTCCATGCTTATCATTGGATGACTGCTTTTGTTTAGATATGATATTTTCAACATTTTAACTTTGCACTTAAGTGATCAAGCACCAAAAATTGTTTTATTCTATTTTTTGAATTGTGTATATGCTTAT